AATAGCATCAAGTAATTTGGGAATTGCAGATTGGTTGCAGACCCCTCTATAATTGTCCACGTTGTTACGTTGTCCAGATTTGAAGATGGGAATTACATAACTGTTCTTCCATAATTGAGGAAAGACGCCTTCACTGAGTGACGTTTGAAATAAGATAAATAAAGGTAAGCAAAGAGAGAATTTACAGTTTTTTAGAACAATGCTGGGAACACCATCAGGGCCAGGATTACAAGATGACTTCAAAAAGGAAATATGGTTAAAAACATCTGATAAACTAATATATAAGCCAGAATCATTCACTTGAGACGATGAATCAAAACAACAAGCAAAATTCCTCAAGTCATCAACTGCGTAAACAGAAGAAAAATATTGTGCAAAAAGATTAGCCACTTCATCCCCACCTTTTACAGAGTGCTGATCAAGTGTCATTTCAGCAGGAATACTGCTGTCACTCTTCTTTTTGTCACGAACAAATTTCCAGAAAAATTTGGGATTATTAAAAATACTAACATTAACGTTAGATATATACGCAGCATACAGTTGTTCACATAACTGTTTACATCGCGATCTCAAGGATTTAAAATAAATATAATCTTCAAACCTGCCTGATTTTTTATAGATAGAGTGCGCTATGCGTTTATTGCGACAAAGATCTTTCAATTCTTTATCGAACCATACCGGATAATTATTACGAGCATTATGCCTTAATATTTTATGTGGAATAAACTGTTCAAACCCGTTAAAAACTATGTCATAAAAAACTGCCACTTTTTCATCCAAATTAAGACCAAGAAAATAATTATCCCAATTAATCGATGCATAAAATTCATTTAAAGAAATATAGTCACCATTATTAAAGTCAAATATTTGAACTTCAGAGTGAAGCGAAGATGAAGAGGTGCAGGAAATATACCATGAATACGGAGAGTGATGAAGACTTTGAGGAAAAATAGGATCTACAGCAGGCAAAACTGCAAGTGCAACAATATTTGTAAAAATAAGATCAAGAAAAACGTTTCTGCCATTGGGAAATAAATTAACTTGTTTAAGATTCAGAAATGCTGAAGTTGAGTTAATAACGTCATAATATTCATGTTTACTAGTCGATGAATCAAAAAGAATATCATTACCATTCCAGACGAGATGTGGTAAATTAAAATCACCGGCGATGACATAAGATGAATCAGGAAAACGCTCAAAAATTAATTCCAGGTCACTACAATAATCCTCGAAAATACTAAGAGGAGACGCAGGAGGAATATACACACCCCCAACAATCAAATCTAAATCATTATATTTTAAATGAACAAAAATGCTTTCCACAGAAATACTACAAAGAACAGTATGAACACAAAAATCATTCCTGATCGCAATCAACACACCACCACCACGATGTTTACCCGTATAATCAACATTGCGATCAGCACGAAAAATGCTATAATTATTTAAACCCAGTTCTTCGTTGGAAATACTGCTGCAAAGCCAGGATTCCGAAATAATAATAATATCGTAAACACTAGAATTAACCATTAACGAAAATTCCTTTAATTTTGACCTAAGGCCACCAACATTCTGATAGTAAAAGTTTATTACTTTTTTGAAAAACTATTGCGAGATGAACTTGTTTTGGTAATATAAGCTTGATTGTTTTTGTATTTTAAAGTTACGTCCTTCTCACCTTTAGAAACCCTGTCCTTAAATTCACGGCGAATATCATTATTAAAATCACGCTGAAGTTTAGTTAAATCAGGACGAAAGAATTTATCACGATTAGGGTTATTTTTGTTTGAGCGGAGAATGTCTTTAGCCAGATTCTCATTTTCACAAACTATTCTCAAAGGACGAACAGTGTTAGACTTAGGAGGACCAATGCGAATAACTTTTTGAGGATGAGAAATGAAACCCAACGGGGATAAAATAGACATAACCTGTTGCAAATCGTCCGCAACCCTTTGTGCAATCGATGTAGAAGAAGATTCAGGTAAATTAAACAATAGTACATTAGAACTCCGTCTTTTACGCTCCTCAATTTCGGCCACAATCACATTAAGATCAGATGAATTGTTATTAGGCATTGTATTAGACGTCTTAAACGCTGCCCATTCCTCCTGAATTAGTCGTACATTATCCTCAACGGTTGTTAATCTGTCATTGATAGCTTTGAAGTGATTTTCAATAGTTTGTTTAATGTCCTGTTGCACCACACTTAGTTGTTTTATAATGATTTCCTCAATTTTTTCAATTGAGATTATGTTACTAGAAGGCGAGCATTTAGGACAAATCCAAGAAGATTTGTCGTTTATTATTTCAGCTATTTCAGACTCACTCAGTTTTAAACATTTAATATGTGCATGTTTTTTGCATGTACCACATTTTGTAGAAGGAGTCGTAGGGGTGATAGCATTCTCACAAATTAAACATAGAACTGCCATATTAATAGGATAACAAGGAAACAATTCTTCACACCAACGCGGTCCGTCGTGGTGACTGACAGTACTTGACAAACAGACTAGACCAGGGAAGGTAAAACAAAAGAGACAGAGGATACAGCTATATTGTAGCAAAAAGCTAAAGCTAATTAATCAATAAAACCAAGATAACGTTATCACGTGAAAGGGCAAAAAATGCAGAAGCCACGTACAAAATAGAGAAACCCCTTAACTTACGCAATCAAAAGGCGACAACAGTGACACAGGGCGTATATAATCCTAATTTCCAGACACTGTCCAAAATTCAAGAAAAAACAAGGCACTTTAACCACTAAAAATTAATTAAAGAGAGAGTGTCGGTCTTATCACTGCTAATACGCTCTAACCTCTTAACTTGACCATTTTAACCATGGTTTCTTGTTCTGAAAAGATAGCTATGTATACAGCCTGTTATTGAAAGGTACGTACAAAATAAAATGGGCAATTGGTTTCGAAGTATAGGTGCTAAAAGTTAAAAAAAGTTCAGGTAAAAGTGTTCTCCTTTTAGAGATAAAAATTATTAAAATTTATGTCCAAATTCGTTGTACGCCTCTGATAAAAAGATCATCTTTCGTTTCTATAGCAACCTTTAGTCTTGACAAAAGTTTTATTGTTACAGTTGCTAGGATTTACTAAAATAAATTAATTTTACCTACTTATCCTTCAGTAGCGTCTAAAAAGGCTGGCTAAGGGTTAATTTTCCCCTTATAATTTTGATAACACAAAATAAGTTTTTCCGACTTCTTAGACTTCGCAAAGAACTGTCCATTTTGTTGTACGTACCTTTCAATAACACCCTGTATATATTAAGAAAAAAAGGCAAAATATAAGCCCCGCCCACCCACCCTATCTCTATTCTGATGATTTTTTTATTCGTCGTAAGCCGATGGAGGGAGCTTAATTAGAAATTACCATGTGAAATATGTTCTTAAGTAATCGTGTTATACAAAGAAAACTAAAGGTATTAATTAAAAAAGGAAACCAAAAGAGAAGCCCCACCCACCCGCCCCAATCTCAATTGTGATACATTTTTCATTCGTTGTCAGACCAAGGGGCGGAGCCTAATTGCAAAATCGATATTTCCCTACACAAATTTACCATTTTAAACATGTTTTAAGTTTCTTATCGGGAAAAGATGACCACACATATTAAGAGAAAATGTACAAGAAATTAAAAACATGTTTTTGAGTATCGTGTTGTTCAAAGAATCCTATGTATACCTAGAAAAAAACAAGCCAAAAATGAAGCCCAATCCATATCCATCCCATGTTCAATTGTGATGAATTTAGAATTTCTCATTGGTTATCAGACCGAGGGGCGGAGCATAATTGCAAAATCCATATTTCAAGCCAAAAATTTACTGTTTTAAACATGTTTTAAGTGAAAACAAGACTACATATATTAAGCAAAACAGAGGCAAAATATAAACCCCGCCCACCCACCCTATCTCAATTCTGACGATTTTTTTTTATTCGTCGTAAACCGAGGGGCGGAGCTTAATTGTGAAGCCCTTATTTTTCTACGACAAATTAAATGTGAAATAATAAGTAATCAATCAAGTAATAATTTTGCGGTTAAACTGCGCCCTATTGGTTCACGGCGAATAAAAAAAATCATCACAATGGAGATAGGGCGGGTGGGCGGGCTTACATTTTCCCTTTTTTTTTTTTAAACATGAAAGTTTTTATCGTTGGGGGCGGAGCATAATTGCAAAATCCATATTTCTCTACAAAAATTTACCCTTTTAATTTTCTTGTTGGGAAAAGAAAGGATTAATGAAGTTGGCCATGACGATTCTTTCGTAAAGCTTTTTATTTAAAAAACACAATTTGAATGCGAGCGCAGGGAGCACGTTCAGGTGTTATTTAGAAATTACTCGTTAGTGTCCCTGCGAAGATTAATTAAGAAACATTTTTATTGTCTAAAAAATTGAATCCTAACATGTTTGTAATTATCTGTTGGGGAGACTTTAGCGATCTAAACGTGCTCGCTGCGCTCGTATTCTAGGGGTATTTTTTTATTGACAGATTTATTGTTAGTATTACATTTGAACCCAAACGACTTCTCTAATACTTTTTCTTGAATATTTCTGAGACTACACTTTAAAAAAGGATGTTTAAAACGCGAGCGCAGCGGGCATGTTTAGGTTTTATTACAAAATATTACTCTAAACTTATGAAGTTTCTTGATTTGATCAATAAAATCGATTGGATTATTTTTTTTTGAGATGACGTCATCAATTTTTGGGAGGGGATAAAGGAATAAAGTTGGACTAAATTCCAGACTACTATCATACAATTTTAATTTTTTTCCTAAAAATCTGGATGTCAGAGTTGTCAGTTTTGACATGAGCACGCCCAATCAACACAACGTGTTGATTGGTTGAAACGATGACAGCTATTGACTTGATGTCATAAATGTCAATTTGACAATCAGGTATGCCACCATAAAATTTTAAATGTGTTGTGAACCTGACAAAAAAAAATCACAAGCGTTAGTAGTCACTGGGATTAATTATTAAAAGCCACAAAATACAACTACGTATTATTTCATTTATTAAAAAAAAATTCATACACAGTCAATATGAAATAATAAAGGTAAATAAACTATGTTTACTTTAAAGTTACAACGGAGTAGTATTGCTAATTTTCAACTGTAACAAACAAGCATTTTATCAATTTGAAGTTGCTAAAAAAATTACGAAATTAAACTGTTTCGTAGTCACTCTTGATCTGCCTGGATAAGTAGCACGACAGAATAATACCAAGAAGCTGAAATAAAAACCAATTATCCACAAAACCGAAAAACTTCTTCATCTCTACCTGAATAACGGCAAGTGTGATCCCGACGCTCTCAATCGAAGTAGCATGACCTTCAATGTAGTCACTAAAAGCATCCAAACACCCTTGGGCATGAAGTCCCGATGAAGCATCAGTGCACGATACGTTTCCGGTACTTCCAGCGTCGAAAGTGCAGCAAGAAATCGGAATCAACTTATGTGTAGGAGAACTCGGTTTTTCCCAGTCGGTGTAGTTGTGGATACCGCAGCAATTGAACTATTGTATCTAATATTAGCCACGAAAAAAAATCACAAAACTTACATTTCTCTGGACGTTGTCCCACAACTCATTTACTTCAGTATTATTCGTGTATTCCTTCATCGTTTCGTTCAACGCATTCTCGATCAATTCGTCGGTCTTGTGCTTCAGCACCAGGCCACCGATGCCCACCATCACCTCTAGGACGAAGATGACGATGAGCAAGGTGGAGAACTTAAAAATGGGGTTGATTATTGGAGAAAGTAAATTGAGAGGGTGGTTACTGTTAGGGTCATGCAGGCATTTTCTTTGAGGGCGCCGCAGCAGCCGAAGAACGAGATGATGAAAATAATCACTCCGATTACGATCAGGAGGTCGGAAGCGTAGATGTATTTGTCGTCGAGGAACCTGTTGTATTCATGGTAGTAGGCTTTCACTGTAGCACCGACTGACAAAATAATCACACCAGTGAGCTAAAAAAAGACAAATGTATTTTTTATAATTAGTATTAGTATTACTATTATTATTTATTGCTGTTTTCATTCATACTCCCAAAAACACTCATAAATTTGAAGAAATTCGGCAAAAATGTACGAAACCGGCCACCCTGAAAAATTTTGCAAAACAAACTTTAAAAATTATTAATTTAACTAGTGATTGCTATTTTATTAAAAACCCATTCACAAACACGATGTACAAATGAGCAAAAAAAGAAGACAAATAAACACAGAAATAAATTTAATTTAACAAAATAATAAAAACAGGGCGACAATTTGAGAGACAGTATTGTTTTCGCGTGACTTGTAGCTAGTACTTGTCAAGATAAGACTGATTTTGGCAGATGACCCACTCTTCTAAGAAAATAAGGGTGGGTGGGCGGGGCTAGTACTTGTCAAGATAAGACTGATTTTGGCAGATGACTTATTCTTCTAAAAAAATAAAGGCGGGGCGGGTGGGGCTAGTACTTGTTAAAAATTTATTCGAACCGAAATTTTGAAAAACCGAAAAATCAAAAATTGAAAATTAGAAACAAAATTTTCAGATGTTTTAAAGTTACGGTAAACATGGCAAATCCCTGATCAAAATTACTTTTTACTCCCTTCCAAAAATCCGATGGCAAAAAATCAAAAATTGAAAATTAAAAAAAATAAACATATTTTTTCGATATTTTTAAAAATCAAGTAATTGAGAAATCGGAAAACTACCAAAACTGTAAAATTAAAAATTTTTTTCAGTTGCTCTGAGAAATCAAAAATCGAAAGACTGCAAAAAATTGAAAATTTAAAAGGCGAGAAATTGAAAAATTCAAAAGTTGAAAAAACGAAAAACTGAAAAATGCAGTAGTACTCGCTACGAAAAGACTGATTTGGGCAAATGATCTATTCTCTAAGAAAACAAAGGGGGGGGGGGGGGGTGGATGGGACTAACACTTGCCAAATAACCTACCCTCTAAGAAAACAAAAAGCGCATAGGCCAGCCTAGTATTTGCCAAAATAAGACTTATTTTGACAAATGACCTACTATTCTAAGAAAAAGTACTAGCCCCACCCACCCACCCTTTATTTTCTTAGAAGAGTAGGCCATCTGCCAAAATCAGTCTTATCTTGGTAAGTACGAGACTGATTTTTGCAAATGATATATCCTCTAGGAAAATAAGGGTGGGTGGGCGGGGCTAGTACTTGTCAAAATAAGACTGATGTTTGAAGAGTAGGTCATTTGCCAAAGTGAGTCTTATTTTGGCAAATACTAGCCTGGCCTACGCTCCTTTTATTTTCTTAGAGGGTACGTTATTTGGCAAGTACCAGCAAATTTCGACGCATTTTCGACGATTTTCGAAATTTAACTAAATGCTTTTTCTTGTAGATTTCGAGGCGCAGAAGTCACTGAATTTGTATTTTGCCTTTTTTTACTACTTTACACATAATTAAAGTTTCTTCTTATGAAAACAAAACTGCGTATGTTAAGAAAAACAGAGGCAAAATATAAGCCCCGCCCACTCACCCGATCTCTAATGTGATGATTTTTTTCTACCCGTGGTGAGTCCAGGGGCGGAGCTTAACTGCAAAATCTTTATTTCTCTACAAAAAATTATCCTGAGCAACATGTTTTTAAGTATCGTGTTGTTCAAAGGAAACTCGCCCAGATCTCAGTTGTGATGAATTTGTCATTTGTTGTCAAACCGAGGGGCGGAGCATAATTGCAAAAATCAATTTCCCTACAAAAAGTTGCCCTTGATAGTAACTTTGATATTCAACTTTTGCCGTATTTAAAGGGGTTGTAGAAGAAAAGAGGAGGGTTTAAGTTGATTACAACAAAAATTTACCATTTTAAACATGTTTTGAGTTTCTTGTTGTGAAAATATGATTATCCATATAAAGAAAAAACAGAGACAAAATATAAGCCCCGCCCACCCACTCTGTCTCAATTGTGATGAATTTTTCGTCGTGCGTTAGGCGGGCGGAGCTTAACTACAAAATCCTTATTTCTCGGGAAGAAATTATCCTGTGAAACATGTTTTTAAATATGGTGTTGTTCAAAGGAAACTATACCTATAAGTTTAGAGGTTTTGAGTTTCTTGTTATGGAAAGAAGACTATGTATATTAAGAAAAACAGAGGCAAAATATAAGCCCCGCCCACCCACCCTGTCTCAATTGTGATGAATTTTTCTATTCGTCATGAGCCGGGAGGTGGAGTTTAATTCCCAAACCTGAGTGCTTTCAAGGAATTACCATGTGAAACAATTTCTTAAGTAATTGTATTGTTCACAGAAAACTCTAAATATGTAGTAATGAAGTTTTCATTCGTTGCCAGATCTAGGGGCGGAGCCTAATTGTAAAATCCATACTTTATTACAAAAATTTACCATTTTAAATGTGTTTTAAGTTTCTAAGATTAAAAAAATCCTTACAATTGAGACAGGGTGGGCGGGCGGGGTTTATATTGTTTTTTTTTAATACACATGGTATTCTTTGAACAACCCGATAATGAACATGTTTTTAATTTCTTGTTAAGAAATAAGTATTTTGCAGTTAAGCTTCGTACTCTTGGTTCACGACGAATAAAAAAAATCATCACAATAGAGACAGGGCGGGTGGGCGGGCTTACATTTTGCCTTTTTGTTTTAATATGTGTAGACTTTTTTTCACAACATGAAACTTAAAACACCTTGAAAATGGAAAGTTTGTATAAGGAAATATAAATTTTGCTATTAGGCTCCGCCCCATGATTGATAAATCCATATTTCCTTGCAAAAATGTACCATTTTAACCATGGTTTCTTGTTGTGAAAAGATAGCTAGGTATATATATTAAGAAAAAAAAGGCAAAATATAAGCCCCGCCCACCCACCCTATCTCTAGTCTGATATTTTTTATTCGTCGTGAGCCGAGGGGCGGAGCTTAATTAGAAGTTACCATGTGAAATATGTTCTTAAGTAATCGTGTTATACGAAGATAACTAAAGGTATTAATTAAATTATTATTTTTCTATTCGTCGTGAACCGGGAGGCGGAGCTTAATTGCCAAACTAATTTGTCTCAAGGAATTACCATGTAAAACAAGTTCTTAAGTAATTGTATTGTTCAAACAAAACTGTATGCATTAAGTGAAAAAGAAAGCTAAAGATTAAGCCCCACCTATACCGTCCCCAATCTCAATTGTGATTAATTTTTCATTCGTTGCCAGACCGAGGGGCGGAGCATAACGGCAAAACCCATACAAGAATGCGAGCGCAGCGAGCACGTTCAGGTGTTATTAAAAATTACTCGTTAGCGTCCCTGAGAAGCTAAATTATTAATGTTATTGTCTAAAAAAAAGTGAATTTTAAAATGTTTGTTAAACCAAAAGTATAGTCATAATACACATTTTGCATTATTTAGAATTATGAATGGATTAATAAACCTAAAGTAGTCATAATATTTTGCATTATTTAGATAGACAAAATTTTGAGATGACGTCATCAATTTTTGGGAGGGGCTAAACGAATAAAATTTGATGAAATTGCAGAATATTGTCATACAATTTTGAATTTTTTCCCAAAATCTAGATGTCTAGTGTAAAAAATTTGTTTCGTTTTCATTTTTTGGAAAATTTTCACCATTTTTCCACAATTTACAATATGAAATATAACAATTTTTTAGAGTTTCAATATTCACAACGAGTACCATCAGCAATTTTGCCTTTTTTCTGGATATACGGTAACAATCTTTTCACGACAATATATTTAAAACGTTTTGGTAAATTTTTATCGGGAAACATCGATTTTACAATTAAGCTCCGCCCCTCGGTCTGACAACGAATGAAATATTCGTCACAATCGAGATTGGGGCGGGTGGGTGGGGTTTATTTTTTAGATTTGTTTTCTTAACATATGTATAAAATCAGTCCAAGGTGGAGTCCACAATAATATAAAAAATTATATAGTACCAAAATCAAAAAGTAGTCATTGTCAACTCGCTCATCAAACATATTTTCCCAAAAATTATGTTGTTTTAATTGCTTATGCCTATAATCTAAACATCTTTTTAGACCCATTGATTTTTAACCCGAGGCGAAGCCGAGGGTTACCAAAATATTGACTCTGGGTGAAAAAAATCAGACTTTCAATCTGCGTGCGGACTAATTTTGCGGTGCAGAATTCATTTCTGGTATCAGTTGTTGACTATTAATTCTATTTCAATCGAAATTCGTTTCAAAACTCACCTCAAACAATATTTTTGGATTTTACGAATTTATCATTTCAAGATATCGTCTTTCTGTTTATACCATTCTTGGAGTTTTCTGATAATGATAGATAGATTTTATATAGTAATAATAATTGTATAAAAAAATTACCAGTCACTATACAAAGGTGTATCCGCTGCGTCATCGAAATTCTAAGCGTTAACATTTTAACAGATACATGACAGTCCGGTCAAAATAAACCGCAGAGTCCGGCCCTGTCACCCAGACTTGACTTTCGCAGCCGCCAGGGATGCTAATTTAATTATGGCACGGAAGGGCAAAGGTTGCGCAAGATTACCCAACAAAAAATTCACAAACCTAAAAAATAGCTCAAACCCCTCAAGGTTAAACGAGATAATAACGATTATATTATTATTATTATCTGCCAGAACCATCAACATAAATGACTCACAACCGGCACAAAAAAGCAACCTTACAATAACCTTTTCTATCATTAATAGTGTAAACACAACTCCATTCTGACAATGATAACAAAATCCTCGTCAAAGTGACGCAAAACCCGACAAAATCCTACTTACCACAAACAGAAAATTGAAAATAATCAGCACATAGCGCGAATACTTTCGGAAAATACTGTTGCAGTCCATGTTTACACGAAAAATTTCCCAAAAGTTGAAGCCGGTTTATGACACTTCGTAATAATACGCACCTCACTGCTGCTCACACTGCTCAAGCTCGATAACTGCGAGGGTTCTCCGAATAACAACAATAAAAGTCACTCAGCTGGGGTTTCGACGTCGCGTAGAGCACGAGCGCGTCCAGGAATCCGCTGTGCGCATCGATCACATGACGGTGATTGTACCGTATTTAGAATAACCCGAGCAACATAAAAACAAAGAGATTACAGTTTCCACCAATCGGAATTTGGCTGATGTTTGCAAAAAAGATAAGGGGCGGCAGTGTATTTGAATAAAATTGTACAAATACAAATAGTGGAGGTGCATGGAGGTCACGGAATGGCGGGTGTTACTAAGGGGCAAACGTGAACACGTAATTTATTGAAATTATTATATATGTATTGTATATTTTTATAGCTGAAAATTCACCAATTGTCGAACGAAAACTTCTTTTTTTTCTTTTTTTGGAGTGGGGCGTCTTTAGCGTCCTCGCTGTTGGCATCAGGGGTGCTAAAACAATGACAATTAGTACTATTTTTGAAAATTTAAGTGTCTATACACACTTTTTCACAGCTTCCAGATTTATGTACTTCCCGACGCCGCTTTTGTACACTTTTAACGTCTTCTGAGCTTCCAGTTTTCTCTTTTTCATTGCTTCTTCCTCCCTTTGTCTCTTCGCTTCTTCTTCTCTTTCTTTAGCCAACTATAAAAAAAAATAAAAATAAAAATGTAACGACGGTTGAGTTCAAAAGTCGTACTTGTTCATCTGCTTCTTCAAACGGATTTACAAAAACTTGCGCCTTAATTATGACTATATCTTCAATTGGTTTATCTTTATTATCCACTTCTATTTTTTCCATTTCTGTTAAAGATTCCATCCCACCTACCAACCGTCCGAAAATCGTATGTTTATTGTTTAGATGTTTGCACGACCGGTACGTAATGAAACTAAAACATGAAACATAGAAATCCAAAAAAAAAAAATCCAAAAACTTACAATTGTGACCCATTTGTGTTTTTACCGGAATTGGCCATAGACAAGACCCCTCGTCCCGTATGGGTTAAATTCGGCCTGAACTCATCTTCGAATTTTTTACCCCATATAGACTCGCCCCCAGTCCCGGTGTTAGTAGGATCCCCACCTTGAATCTACCACGAAATCAGTTTTATTCCCCTCTGAATCAAAATACCTACCATGAAATTCCTAATAGACCTGTGAAACTTGGTACCATTGTAGTACCCATTTTCACAGTGTCTTACAAAATTTTCAGACGCTTTTGGCACGTCGTCGCAGTAAATTTCAAGATTTAAAGGTCCGAGATTCGTCACCAATCTCACGTACCCCTTTTTTTTAACGCGGTCATATCGCACTTCATCCTCGTGTTTGACGGCGGCTTCATGGACCAGTTTAGGCTCCATCACCGTCGAAGTAAAAGCTGCGGCGACAGCCCCCGTCGAAAAATGCGCCGCATTAAACTTATCAGCTTTCGCCTTCACTTCAACTTTATTTATACTAATAGTGGGTTCTTTGTAGTCCCTTTTGAGCTCCTCTAGAGTGTATTTAGTTTCAGGGTTGATATTTTTTAAATGCGCTTGTGGGTCGCCTTTTGCCGCAATTTCCTCTATGAATTATAATATAGTATCACTATACTTTAATACAATGTAACTCACCTTCAGTTTCCACTCTCACGTTGTTTTTAATGTGATAAAAAGTCGAAATGTTGAATTTAGACAAGTCTACAGGGTTCTGCAACGTTATAATATCTTTCCTTTCGAACGGTTGGTCGTTGATTAAGTCCTTCCAGTTCTTGTTTTTGATGTTTAGTTGTTCTACAGCTTCCATCAGGTAGACGTTTCCGGTGACAGCGTTGGCCACAATGTGCGAACTTTTCGTGAACTGTTTAAACAAAACGGGACACTCGAACTCGCCTTCCGTGTTTTTGTAAAAGTTGAGTTGTACTAGAGTGCGGAAATCCAAAGGTTTGCCCGTGACTGGGTTAATTTTGAACTTTTTCAAAAAAGGTAGTAATGGTTCTAGATCAAAGATGTTACCATCGAGGTCACAGTACGGAATTTCAAAAGGTTGCAAAGACAAGCAACAATGGTCAAATGGGAGTCGTTTAAAGTGGTCTTCTTCTGCGGTGGTGTAGCCTGACTTTTTACCCCCATATAACGTAGTCCATTCGGTGTACGTCAAGTACCTGTGGTAATAACGTTAGTTGGGGTTAGTGTGACGGGGTGGGTACTTACATTTTGTCCTTTTGGTGCTGTCGTTTCCCCATTTCGTTCGATTTGAGTAAAAATTGTCGAGTTTGAGGTTACGTAGCGAAATGCAGAAGTGTCAAAACAATGTACTTGGACAACTTGGCGGTCGTAAAATCCCCTACGACATATTATTATTTGCGGAAATAATTAGCCGGTTAATTCTTAGATCGCGTTAGATTCTTCGTGTCAAAAAAACAAGCGCCGGTTGGCTTTTCCCGGCGCCCGATTTGCTAAAAAAGCGTCGTTTTTTCCTTTTTTTAAAGCGACTGGTTTCACGTTTCTCCGGTAGAAGGTGGCAACCCTGAGTACTCATCGAGTACGCCATGAGCCGATATTAGTAAAAAGGGAGTGAGTTGTATTAAGTTTTTAGTGCAAAAAATACATCAAGTAAGTAAAATTTGGAGCCAGGTTTGTTCAGCGATGTCACCGGTACAAAATCCACCCTTTCGCGTGTCCCGTAGCGCCCCCGCGGACCCAGTAAGCCGTGAAAAAAATCGCTCACTTGCCCCTCGAATTTCTCGGCTCGCAGCCGCTATCCCCCCGAAATTCGCCCCAATTCCTCTTCCGCGATCTATTTCCGACCCCGAAGCCCCGCCGCCGCACCGTTTGGACCCGTCCTGCGAAAATTTCGGCTTGTGTAATGCGTGCAATCAAAATGGCCGACTAGCTGACAGGAATCAATTTTGATTTTGAGAAGGGTCGCAATAATCGCGTACCTGTGTCGCGAAAATCCGCGCGGACGCCGACCGGCGCCGCCGCCACCCGGCCCCGGGGTTGGCCCCCGCGGGCCGGGCCGGCGCCCGCCCGCCGCGAACAAAGAACCTGACGATTTTTTCTTTTTGTTCAGCTCAATGTCTTCAGCGGGGTCTAGCGGATCGGGCCGCGGCAGAGGCGGCCAAGCGGCCGTCGGGGATCAGAAGGAGGCCAAGGAGTCGAAGCCGAACCCGAAGATGTCGAAGGCGTTGGGCACGTCGGCGAAGAGGATCCAGAAAGAGCTCGCGGAAATCACGCTGGACCCACCTCCAAATTGCAGTGCCGGACCGAAGGGGGAGAATTTCTATGAGTGGGTGTCCACGATTTTGGGCCCGCCGGGGTCGGTCTACGAGGGTGGCGTGTTCTTCTTGGATATACACTTCTCGCCAGAGTACCCGTTCAAACCGCCGAAAGTCACGTTCAGGACGAGGATTTACCATTGCAATATCAACAGTCAGGGCGTGATTTGCTTGGATATTTTGAAGGATAATTGGTCGCCCGCCCTCACTATTTCCAAGGTTCTCCTATCCATCTGCTCTTTGTTAACCGACTGCAATCCAGGTAAGGGGGATGGGGTCGGGGGTCTAGAACTGAGTCGGAAATGCGGGTTCGCGGCGGGGTCGGGTTTGACTGCTTTGGTAAGTAGTTTCAGTCGTGAGGAGGTCTGCTGGAGTATTTTTATAGGTAGAACTTGGACTTATTTTGTGTGGTTTTTCCAAAAATATGTAGGATGTTTCATTAAAAAAAAAAGTAATAAATCCTCGGGACACCCTGTATAATTGCAGCAGTATACAGTTTTTGGTTTTTGTAATTTCTCGTCTTTCTCAATATAAACCCAAAAAACTGAGACAGCTTAAACTAAAAAAAATCTATCGGCGATTTATCTCTAAAAAGTCGCTTTACCCACTTTTGAAGTTTGACCCATAGCGTACGTAAACATAAGTCTCCCATTTCCGTCCGTCAAAAAATTTGTCTGATTATCCCCACCAGTAATAACATGACGTCATTTCAACTTACCCTGGCAAACGCTATTCAAATTTTCTTAAATAACATACTCTTGCACTTATGGTTTATGAATCCGTATTGAGTTTTTACCCTAGACATTCCGATTTTTGGGAAAAAATTCAAAATCTTGCAAACGTTTCAAGGTTATGATCAAAATTTATGCGTTTACCCCCTCCCAAAAATGAGTTTTTATAATTTATACAGGGTGATTAATTATCAAATCAAGAACGAAAATTCTTACGAAAATGTTCCACTTTGGACCATTTTTTTATTAAAAGCTGCATGTGCTCGCTGCGCTCGCATTGTGAACGTTGTTTTGTTTCAAGTTTAGTATCAAGAAGAATTCGAGAAAGTTTTACCGAAGTTGTTTGGGTTCAATTGTAATAATAAATCAGTGCTCGCATTTATGTGATTTATCATTGCATTCATATTTTTTTAGATTTGTCCCCTATTTTCTCCGAGGATATGTCATTTGCCAAAATCAGTCTTAATTTAACAAATACTAGCATTTTAGCAAATGACATATCTTTTAAGAAAATAGAGGGCGGGTGGGTGGGGCTAGTACTTGCTGTGATAACATTTATTTTGGCAAATGACATCCTCTGAGAAAATAGGGGGCGGGTGGGTGGGGTTAGTACTTAGTAAGATAAGACTGATTTTGGGAAATGACATATCATCGGAGAAAGTAAAGGGTGGGTGGGCGGGGCTACTACTTGATAAGATAAGACTTATTTCAGCAAATGACATATCCTCTGGGTCTGGATCTATTTTTATTAGATACGTGGTCACCGAAACTGCTTTAAGTGTGGTCTACGAATCCGCTTTGAGTTTTTCTCTAACCGTCCAAATTTCTGTAAAAACATAATACACGGTATAAAAACAGTTTGCCATTAGCGTAAGGCATCCCGGTCGTGGTCTAGTGGTTACGAGTGAGGAATGCGGATCAAACTTCGCGTGTTCGATTCCAAACTTGGCCATTGGTTTTTTTTCCTTTTTTTTTCTTCTCGCATTGTGTATTATCTATGCTTCTGACGTCATAATCAATTTTGTATTGATTAAATTACCCCACTTTCTCGAAAAGGTCAGAATACATCCCTCTTTACTTAAAAATTAAAACCTTCTCGGGGGCACCAAATGTCTTTTTTTAATGTGAAACCTTGGGGACACAACTGTCTTTTTTAAAAATGGAAAACCTCGGAGGCCCCAAATGTCTTTTTTTAGGGAAAACTTTCTCGAAGGTCCCAACGTTTTTGAGTATCGTGATGTTCAAAGAGACAATGTACATTAAGAAAACAAAGGCAAAAAATAAACCCCGCCCACCCACCCTATCTCAATTGTGATGATTTTTATTTATTCTTAGAAACTTAAACTTTTAAAATCGTAAAATTTTGTACGAAAATATGGATTTTGCAATTCTGCTCCGCCCCTCGGTCGGACAATGAAGAAAAATTCATCACAATTGAGACAGGGTGGGTGGGTGGGGTTTATATTTTGCCTCTGTTTTTCTTAATATACATAGTCTTCTTTTCACAACAAGAAAAACATGTTTAAAGTGGTAATTTTTTGCAGGGAAATTGAATTTTGCAATTAGGCTGCCAACGAATGAAAACTTCATTACTATTTAGATCAGGGCGGGTATGGGTGGGGCTTAATCTTTGCTTTTAATTTTTTCGAAATATACTTAGTATTCTTTGAATAACACGATACTCGTGTAATTTATAATTTTAATAAAAAATACACACATTGGCATATTTTTATCTTCAGAATGTGCGAAACGCCACCGTTTAAACATTTTTTATGGAAAAACCACAGCAATGATGAATCACTTAATTTGCATTTTCAAATTACTAATTAATTTGAAATTCAAAAATGTAAAACCAAATATATATTTTTAAGAATGTGAAATCTTCTCGGAGGTCATAATTCTCTTTTTTAGGAATGTAAAACCCTCTCGGGGGCACCAAATGTCTTTTTTTTAATGTGAGACCTTCTTGGGATCACAATCGTGTTTTTTAAAAATGTAAAACCTTCTCGGGGGTCCCAAGTGTCTTTTGTAAAAATGTAAAACCTTCTCGGGGGCCTCAAATGTCTTTTTTTTTAATGTGAAACCTCCTCGGGGGTCCCAACTGTCATTTTTAAAAATGTGAAACCTCGGGGGACACAACTGTCTTTTTTAAAATTGTAAAACCTTTTCGGGGGTCCCAACTGTCATTTTTAAAAATGTGAAACCTTCTCAATGGCCCCAAATGTCTTTTTAATGTGAAACCTTCTCGGGGGTCCCAAATGTCTTTTAATGTGAAACCTTCTGGGGAGCCCCAAATGTCTTTTATGTGAAACCTTCTCGGAGGTCGCAACTATATTTCTTAAAATTATAAAATCTTCTGGGGGGTCCCAATTGTGTTTTTTTAAAAATGTATAATCTGCCTTTTTTTATGTGAAACCTTTTCTGGGGGTCCCATCTGTTTTTTTTTTTTTTTTTTTTTAATGTAAAACCTTCTCGGGGGTCCCAACTGTCTTTTGTAAAAATGGAAAACCTCGAGGGGCCCAACTGTCTTTTTTTTAATGTAAAACCTTCTGGGAAGTCCCAAATGTCTTTTTTTTTAATATTGAAACCTTCTCGGGGGTCCCAATTGTCTTTTAAAAATGTAAAATTTTCTCAGTGGCCCCAAATATCTCTTTTTATGTGAAACCTCTGGGGTATCCCATTTGTTTTTTTTTTTTTATGTAAAACCTTCTCAGGGGTCCCAAGTGTCTTTTTTTTTAATGTGAAACCTTCTCCGGGGTCCCAACTGTCTTTTAAAAATGTGAAACCTTCTCGGGGGCCCCAAATGTGTTTTTTTTTAATGTGAAACCTCGGGGGTCACAATAGTCTTTTTTAAAATTGTAAAACCTTCTAGGGGGTCCCAGTTATCTTTTTTAAAAATGTAAAATCTTCTCAGGGGCCCCGAATGTCTTTTTAATGTGAAACCTTCTCGGGGGTCCCAAGTGTCTTTTGTAAAAATGTTAAACCCCGGGGACCCCAAATGTCTTTTAATGTGAAACCTTCTGGGGAGCCCCAAGTGTCTTTTATGTGAAACCTTCTCGGAGATCGCAACTATCTTTCTTAAAATTGTAAAATCTTCTCGGGGGTCCCAATTGTGTTTTTTAAAAATGTATAATCTTCTCAGGAGCCCCAAATGCCTTTTTTTTTATGTGAAACCTTTTCTGGGGGTCCCATCTGTTTTTTTTTTTTTTTTTAATGTAAAACCTTCTCGGGGGTTCCAAGTGTATTTTGTAAAAATGTAAAACCTTCTCGGGGGTCCCAACTGTCTTTTGTTAAAATGGAAAACCTCGAGGGGCCCAACTGTCTTTTTTTTTAATATAAAACCTTCTGGGAAGCCCCAAATGTCTTTTTTTAATATGAAACCTTCTCGGAGGTCGCAACTATCTTTCTTAAAATTGTAAAATCTTCTCGGGGGTCCCAATTGTGTTTTTTAAAAATGTATAATCTTCTCAGGAGCCCCAAATGCCTTTTTTTTATGTGAAACCTTTTCTGGGGGTCCCATCTGTTTTTTTTTTTAATGTAAAACCTTCTCGGGGGTCCCAAGTGTATTTTGTAAAAATGTAAAACCTTCTCGGGGGTCCCAACTGTCTTTTGTTAAAATGGAAAACCTCGAGGGGCCCAACTGTCTTTTTTTTTTAATGTAAAACCTTCTGGGAAGCCCCAAAGGTCTTTTTTTAATATGAAACCTTCTCGGAGGTCGCAACTATCTTTCTTAAAATTGTAAAATCTTCTCGGGGGTCCCAATTGTGTTTTTTAAAAATGCATAATCTTCTCAGGAGCCCCAAATGCCTTTTTTTTATGTGAAACCTTTTCTGGGGGTCCCATCTGTTTTTTTTTTTTAATGTAAAACCTTCTCGGGGGTCCCAAGTGTATTTTGTAAAAATGTAAAACCTTCTCGGGGGTCCCAACTGTCTTTTGTTAAAATGGAAAACCTCGAGGGGCCCAACTGTCTTTTTTTTTAATGTAAAACCTTCTGGGAAGCCCCAAATGTCTTTTTTTAATATGAAACCTTCTCGGAGGTCGCAACTATCTTTCTTAAAATTGTAAAATCTTCTCGGGGGTCCCAATTGTGTTTTTTAAAAATGTATAATCTTCTCAGGAGCCCCAAATACCTTTTTTTTATGTGAAACCTTTTCTGGGGGTCCCATCTGTTTTTTTTTTTTTTTAATGTAAAATCTTCTCGGGGGTCCCAAGTGTATTTTGTAAAAATGTAAAACCTTCTCGGGGGTCCCAACTGTCTTTTGTTAAAATGGAAAACCTCGAGGGGCCCAACTGTATTTTTTTTTAATGTAAAACCTTCTGGGAAGCCCCAAATGTCTTTTTTTAATATGAAACCTTCTCAGAGGTCGCAACTGTCCTTCTTAAAATTGTAAAACCTTCTCAATGGCCCCAAATGTCTTTTTTTATGTGAAACCTCTGGGGTATCCCATCTGTTTTTTTTTTTATGTAAAACCTTCTCAGGGGTCCCAAGTGTCTTTTTTTTAATGTGAAACCTTCTCCGGGGTCCCAACTGTCTTTTAAAAATGTGAAACCTTCTCGGGGGTCCCAAATGTGTTTTTTTTTTAATGTGAAACCTCGGGGGTCACAATTGTCTTTTTTAAAATTGTAAAACCTTCTAGGGGGTCCCAGTTATCTTTTCTAAAAATGTAAAATCTTCTCAGGGGCCCCAAATGTCTTTTATGTGAAACCTTCTCGGAGGTCGCAACTATATTTTTTAAAATTGAAAAACCTTCTCGGAGGTCCCAAGTGTCTTTTGTAAAAATTAAAATCTTCTCGGGGGTTCCAAGTGTTTGGTAAAAATGTAAAACCTTCTCTGGGGGTCCCATCTGTTTTTTTTTAATGTGAAACCTTCTCGGGGGTCACAACTGTATTTTTTAAAAATGTAAAATCTTCTCAGGGGCCCCAAAATTCTTTTTTTATGTGAAACCTTGTCGTGGGTCCCAAGTGTCTTTTGTGAAAATGCAAAACCTTCTCGGGGGCCCCAAATGTTTTTTTTTTTAATGTGAAACCTTCTCGGGGGGCCTAAAAGTCTATTTTTTCAATTGTGAAACCTCGGAGGTCCCAACCGTTTTTTTTTTCTTTAATTCTAAACCTTCTCGGGAGTTCCAATCGCCTTTTTTAAAAATTAAAACCTCTGGGGTCCCAAGTGTCTTTTGTAAAAATGTAAAACCTTCTCGGGGGTCCCAAGTGTCTTTTGTAAAAATGTAAAATCTTCTCGGAGGTCCCAATCATCTTTTTTAAAAATGTAAAACCTCGGGGGCCTCAAATGTTTTTTTTTAATGTGAAACCTTCTCGGGGGTCCCAACCGTTTTTTTTTTTTTTATTCTAAACCTTCACGGGAGTCCCAAGTGGTTTTTGTAAACATGTAAAACCTTCTTGGGGCTCCCAAGCGTCTTTTTTAAAATTGAAAAACCTCGTCGGGAGTCCCACCCGTCTTTTCTAAAAATGTGCAACCTTCTCGGGAGTCCCAATCGTCTTTTTAAAAAATGTGCAACCTTCTCGGGAGTCCCAATCGTCTTTTTTAAAAATGTAAAACCTTCTAGGGGTTTCCAAGTGTCTTTTGTAAAAATGCAAAACCTTCCCGGGGGGCCCAAATGTCTTTTTTAATGTGAAACCTTCTCGGGGGTCCCAACCGCCTTTTTGAAAATTTGAAACCTTCTCGGGAGTCCCAATCGTCTTTTTTAAAATTGTAAAACCTTCTCTGGGGTCCCAAGTGGCTTTTGTAAAAATGTAAAACCTTCTCCTCGGGGGTCCCAACCGTCTTTTTTAAAATTGTAAAACCTTCTCGGGGACCCTAAATGTCTTTAATGTGCAACCTGCTCGGGAGTCCCAATCTTCTTTTTTAAAAATGTGCAACCTTCTTGGGAGTCGCAATCGTCTTTTCTAAAAATGTAAAACCTTCTCGGGAGTCCCAAGTGGCATTTGTAAAAATACAAATCCTTCTCGGGGGGCCCATACGTCTTTTTTTTTTCAATGTAAAACCTTCTCGGGGGCTCCAAATGTCTTTTTTAATGTGAAACCTTCTCGGGGGTCCCAACTAATAATAATAATAATAATAATCAGATACACTTACGGGTGAACGGTCAGCAAGGTGACATAGTTTTTATTATAATAATTCTCGAGAAAAAGACTTTCTAATGCGGTTCATTCAGCTTAGTCACTTATTTGCACTTTTTGTGTAATTTTTCCACAAAAATATATATCGTGGGTGTTTTAAAGATGACGACATACCTCGTAAAGTTCTGGAAAATCATTAAAGAATAAGATATGCAAACGAATGCATTTTTATTGAAGCTATATTTATTTTTATCGTAATACGAACACCTGCTGACTCCTACTTTCAAGAAACCGCTTTTGTACACAATTTTCATGTTTTTGTCTTAAGTAAAGTGTGTATTTTTGTTGTTTAGTGTCTGACGATGTTTTGTTTCAGCGGATCCGTTGGTGGGAAGTATAGCCACGCAGTATCTTCAGAACCGCGAAGAGCACGATCGCATCGCCCGATTGTGGACCAAACGTTACGCTACGTGATTGAATTATGTGTTAGCACTTCCGTCGATGTTGCTCCCCTTCGCCATAATGGCAAAATATGGTCTTTTCATCTGTCATGATTTATTTCATATTGTTTTGTCTTCAGTGTTCATGTATTATGTTAATTAAATCATCCACTACATGTTTAGTTACATAAAGAGTAGGATACGAAATTACTGTCTAAAAAAATATACTCTTCTGGTAATACATAATATTGTAGTTATAAATAACGCAAACGTAATATCGGTGAATTTTTTTTGTGTTGTGGTAATAAATTTCTCCTCAGTGGCCAAACAGAATGTTGTAATATGATTAATTTTTACGTAAACTTGTATTTTAGGCACTAAGTGTTAAGTTCCTGGTGATTATTTTCTATTAAAGTTTTGGACAATAAATGTTTTTTCTCTTTCGCTAGGTTAAAATTGTCGGAAAGTATTAAACGTTACGATAAGAACTTGTTCTCCATATCATATTGGTTTTATGTGTATTTATTGAGTGTACTGGATTTTTATTTGCAGTTAGGTTCCTGCGATTTGTGCAATTAATATAACATGTAGGTTGCCCGCGCAAACTACATAACTGTTTCGATTCGAACGAGAATGTCTTATTGGTGCAGTTTCCTTCCCATACCGCTTGTGTAAAGTATACTTTTTTTACTAAATTAAGAGAATATGGACTATTCTTCTAGAAGTCGAGTACTGTTTAGTTTAATTGTAACAATAAAGTTTTAGTATGTAACCGACAAACGACTTTCATTCATTGCGACATCCTGCCGGCTGTGGGCGGCGAAAGGAAACGGGCGGGCCACGATGACTACAAGACACAACAACAACAACAAAAAAAAGTAGAAACAAATTTTTGTCAACTTTATTACAATTATAATTATCATAACATCAATAATAGGTATTTATCACCGAGTGTACAACTAGACATAGAATAACTGTGGTTTAGAGACTCTAGACGAATATACTGTACACAGTCACGATACTGAGGTTAACCGATAGATGAATGCGCCGCCCCTAATAGCCTCTACGCACGGTACAAATTCAGTTCATATTTTACATATAATAAGAGACGCTTGAGTTACAAATAAATATCTTATCAAAAATCCATAAAAAGGTTTGTTCGTTTTATTGACTCCCACGTAATAATTTGGCTCAGAAAAATACATTTATCCCTTTTTCTTCCTAATAATATATATAATTCATTTGAACAATACTTGATTATAGATGCCATCTTAACGCTACCGAAGAAAAGCCGTAGAAAAAATATAATCCATTCTTCACCTAAATTGAGAACATTGTGCAATAAAATCAGTCAAAGTGAGAAAGAGTGAATTGAGATATCGTCGAGAATAATCAGACCCATAAGAACTCGAGGAAACAATGGAAAATACAACAAATAACGAGATAAATTAAAACATAAATAAACGTCACCGCCTACACCGTTTCGTATTCTTGGCGAATAGAGCGTGCCAGGCAGCAGGCGAAAACCACCCCCATGAGCTGAAACAAACTCGATAACACACAAAACGGACGCTCGACGGACGTTACCTGGCAGACGGCAATCCCTATTCCCACGCCGCCTATAATCGAGCCGTACTTTGTGAACCCGTCCTTCAGTTTCGAGAAACAGGAGGCCGTGTAGATGTTGGGCGAGTTCAGCGTGCAGGTGCCGTCGTCGGGGGTGTCGGGGCAGCAGGTGTGGGGAAGCGTGTTGTTGTGGTTGACGAGATTCCAGTCCTGGGGGCCGTTCATCCCGCAGCACTTGCCCTACAAATTTTTACAAATAAGTCCACCAATACTGCAATTTACATACTATATAATTTTATGCTTGACGTAATAACGATAATCTAGGTTTACGTAAATAATGGATGGAATCGTTGTTGCTAAGAATTATAAATGGGCCATGAAACTTATAAGTATGTATTAAAGTCTATTAATATTGAAATGGGTGTAATAAAGTTTTGAAATATCCAAACTACGAAACAAAAAACTCACGACTTACAAAAAACAATCGATAATTGGTTCGGAAAGGGGAAATTTAATGCAATTCACGGTTCGTATATTTTTGAAATTATTAAATTGTTACTGAATTGCAAATAAACTAGAAATTTAGATGGGAAGTTTGTGGTTAAAAAAATGAAAAGTGAAATTTGAATTTCAAATTAATTAGTAATTTGAAAATGTAAATTAAGTGATTCGTCATTGCTGTGGTTTTTTCATAAAAATATGTGACGTTTCGCACATTCTGAAGATTAAAATCTGCCAATGCGTGTATTTTTCATAAAATTATAAATTACATGAGTATCGTGTTATTCAAAAAATACTATGTATATTTAGAAAAATTTAAAAGCAAAGATTAAGCCCCACCCATGCCTGCCCTTATCCAAATAGTAATGAAGTTTTCATTCGTTGGCAGACCTAGGGGCGGAGCCTAATTGCAAAATCCATATTTTCTTACAAAAATTTATCATTTTAAATGTGTTTTAAGTTTCCAAGAATAAAAAGAAGTCATCACAATTGAGATGGGGTGGGTGGGGGTATATTTTGCCTGTTTTCTTTATATATTCAGTACTCTTTGAACAACACGGTACTAAAAAACATGTTCTTAATTTCTTGTAAAGAAAAAAGTATTTTGCAGTTAAGCTCCGCCCCCTTGGTTCACGGCGAATAAAAAAAATCACAATTGAGTTAGGGCGGGGCATACATTTTTCCTTTTTGTTTAAATATGTGTAGACTTCTTTTCACAACATGAAACTTACAACATGTTTAAAATGGAAAACCCTTGCGAAAATGTACGATTTTAACTGTTTTAAGTTTCTTCATTAAAAAAAAGACATTTTAAAAATTAAAAAATCGGAAAATTGAAAAATCGATAAATCTAAAGTTTAAAATCGGAAACTGAAAAGCATAAAAACTGAAATGATGGAAAATTGATGAATTGAAAACTAAAAATTGAGAAATTTAAAAATCGAAGAGCCGAAAAATTTTTAAAATCGGAAAACTGAAAAATAAAAAAAATGAAAAAACAAAAATTCAAAGATGTATTCGAAAAATTGAAAAATCCAAAATTAAAAAATCGGAAAATTGCAAAATCGAAGCACTGACAAATCGGAAAATCGAAGTCAAAAAGCGATAGTGAGAAGTCAAAAAATGGAAAAATCCAGGAATCAAAACATCAAAAAACTGAAAAATTGCAAAATCCCATAAATCGAAAAAACTAGAAATCGAGAAATCGAAAAACTAAAAAATTTAAAAATTTGAAAACCGAAAAATAAAAAAATTGGAAAATCAAAAATTTTAAAAATCGAGAAATCGAAACAAAAAAATGATAATAAAAATTTAAAAATTCGAAAAATTGAAAAATAGATATATCAAAGAACCGGAAATTTGAAAAATCGAGAAATCAAAAAAATCTGAAACTTTAAAAATTCAAAAACTAAGAAATAGAAACATCGGAAAATCAAAAAATGGGTTAATCAAGAAATTTAAAAACTGAAACATAGAGAAATCGAAAAACGCCAAAACAGAAAAGTGGAAAATTAAAAAAGTCGAGAAATTTAACAATCCAGGGATCGAAAGATCGAAATTTCTATAGAGAAATCGAAAAACTGAAAAATCAAAAAATTTAAAAACCGAAACATTGAAAAATCGCAAAATTAAAAATTTTAAAAATCGAAAAATCTAAAACCGAGAACTCAAAAAATGGGAAGATCGAGAAATCGAAAAACTAAAAAATTGAAAAATTAAAAACGGAAATAAAAAAATCGGAAAATTGATGAATCGAAGGACTGAAAAATCGAGAAATTCAAAAATTTCAAAATTGACATGACGAAAAATTGGGATATCGAAAAACTGAAAAATCGGAAAATCGAAAAACCTTGAAAAATCTGAAACTGAGAACCCAAAAAATGGAAAAATCCAGAATAGCAAAAAATCGAAAAATTGAAAAATAGAAATTGTGAAGAACCGGAAATTTGAAAAATCGATTAATCGACAAATCTAGAAATCGAGAAATCAAAAAATCTGAAACTTTACAAATTGAAAGATTAAAATATCGAAAACTCGAAAAACTGAAAAGTCTAAAATTAAAAATCAAGAAATCGAGACATGGGAAAATCAAAAAATTGATTAATCAAGAAATCTAAAAACTGAAACATAGAGAAATCAAAAATCAAAAGATCGAGAAATCGGGAAATCGAAAAGTCGAGAACTCGAAAAATCGAAAAAGTGAGAAATCGAAATACGCCAAATCACAAAAGTGAAAAATTAAAAAAATCGAACAATCGAAAAATAGAGAAATTTAACAATCGAGGAATCGAAAGATCGAAATTTTGACAAATAGAGAAATCGAAAAAAAAAAAAAATAAAAACCGAAACAATGAAAAATTGCAAAATTAAAAATTTTAAAAATCGAAAAATTGAAAAATCCAGAAACTGAGAAATCGAGAAATTAAAAATTTGAAAAACCGAAAATAAAAAATCGGAAAGCTGAAGAATCGAAGGACTGAAAAATCCAGAATTTCAAAAATTCCAAAATTCACATGACAAAAAATTGAGAAATCGAAAAAATGAAAAATCGAAAAACCGAAACGTCGAAAAATTCAAAAACTGAAACAGTGAAATCGAGAAAATTGAAAAATCGAAATACGCCAAAATCGAAAAGTAAAAAATTAAAAAAAATGAACAATCGAAAAATCGAGAAATTGAACAATCCAGGAATCGAAGGATCGAAATTTCGATAAATAGAGAAATCGAAAAACTGAAAATTAGAAGAAATTAAAAAATTGGAAAATTGATAAATTGATAAATCTAAAGTTTAAAAGTTGAAAAATCCAACAATCGAAACATCAAAAAATCGAAAAATTGAGAAATTTAAAAATCGAAAAGGCGAAAAGATTTTAAAAATCGGAAAACTGAAAAATAAAAAACTGAAAAAACAAAAATTCCATTATGTATTCGAAAAATTGAAAAATCCAAAATTAAATAAATCAAAAATTAAAAAATTCCAAAACTGACATGAAAAATTGGGAAATCGAAAAACTGAAAAATCGGAAAATCGAATAGTCAAAAAGTGAAAAAATTGAAAATCTGAAAGGTCTAAAACTGAGAACCCAAAAAATGGAAAAATCCAAAAATCAAGGAATCGAAAAACTAAAAAATTTAAAAACCGAAAAAAAATTAAACTTAAAAATTTTTAAAATCGAGAAATCGAAAAATGGAGAAAATGAACAATCCAGGAATCGAAAGATCGAAATTTCGATAAACACACAAATCGAGAAATTATAAAATTGAAAAATCTAAAACTGAGAACTCAAAAAATGGAAAGATCAAGAAATCGAAACATCAAAAACCGAAAATTGAAAAATCCAGGAATCGAAAAAACTAGAAATCGAGAAATCGAAGAATCGAAGGATTGAAAAAGCGAAACGTTGAAAAATTGGTGAAACGGGAAGTCAAAAGGCGGAAAAATCGAAAAACCGAAATTTCGAAAAATTTAAAAACTGAAACAGGAAAATCGAAACATCAAAGGTCCGAGAAATCGGGAAATCGAAAAGTCGAGAAAATCGAAATACGCCAAAATCGAAAAGTAAAAAATAAAAAAAATTGGACAATCCGGGAATCGAAAGATCGAAATTTCGATAAATAGAGAAATCGAAAAATGAAAAAATTTAAAAACCGAAACATTGAAAAATCGCAAAAATTAAAAATTTTAAAAATAGAAAAATTGAAAAATCTAAACTTGAGAACTCAAAAAATGGAAAGGTCGAGAAATCGAAAAACTAAAAAATCGAAATATTGAAAATCTAAAAAATCTAAAATCGAGAAGTCGAAAGATCGAGAAATCGAAACATAAAAAAATGATAATAAATATTTAAAAAATCGAAAAATTGAAAAATCCAGAAATTGAAAAGTTCCCAAAACTGAAATGTTGGAAAATTGATGAATTGAAAACCAAAAATTGAGAAATTGAAAAATCGAAAAGCCGAAAAATTTTAAAAATGTATTCGAAAAATTGAAAAATCCAAAATTAAAAAATCGAAAAATTAAAGAATCGAAGGCCTGAAAAATCGAGAAATTCAAAAATTCCAAAACTGACATGACGAAAAATGGGGAAATCGAAAAACTGAAAAATCGGAAAATCGAAAAACCGAAAAATCTTAAAGTGGGAACTCAACAAATGGAAATATCCAGAAATCAAAACATCAAAAAACTTAAAAATTGAAAAATCCAGAAATCGAAAAACTAAAAAACTGAAAAATTTAAAAACCGAAAAATTAAAAAATCAAAAATTTTAAAAATCGAACAATGGAAAAATCGAGAAATTTAACAATCCTTGGATTTTTTTGATTTCGATAAATAGAGAAATCAAAAACCGAAAAATTGATAAGACCAGAAATCGAAAAAACTAAAAATCGAGAAATCGAAAAACTAAAAAATTGAAAAACCGAAATTAAAAAATCGGAAAATTGAAGAATCGAAGGACTGGAAAATCGAGCAATTCAAAAATTGCAAAACTGACATCACGACAAATTGAGAAATCGAAAAACTGAAAAATCGAAACATTGAAAAATTGGAAAAACGAAAAGCCAAAAAGCAAAAAAATCGGAAAACCGATATTTCGACAAAGGATCGAGAAATCGGGAACTCGGAAAGTCGAGAAAATTGAAAAATCGAAATATGTCAAAATCGAAAAGTAAAAAATCAAAAATTGAAGAATCGAAGGACTGAAAAATGGAAACATTGAAAAATCTAAAACTGAGAACTCAAAAAATGGAAAAATCCAGAAATGGAAAAAATCAAGAATTTTAAAAATCGAAAAATCTAGAAATCAAAAAATCTGAAACTTTATGAATTGAAAGATTAAAATATCGAAAACTCGAAAAACTGAAAAGACGAAAATTAAAAATCAAGAAATGAAAAACTAAGAAATCGAAACATGGGAAAATCAAAAATGTATTAATCAAGAAATTTAAAAACTGAAACATAGAGAAATCAAAATCAAAAGTCGAGAACTCGAAAAATCGCAAAACTGAGAAATCGAAAAACGCCAAAGCACAAAAGTGAAAAATTAAAAAAATCGAACAACCGAAAAATAGAGAAATTTAACAATCGAGGAATCAAAAGATCGAAATTTTGACAAAAGAGAAATCGAAAAAAAAATTAAAAACCGAAACATTGAAAAATTGCAAAATAAAAAATTTTTAAAATCGAAAAATTGAAAAATCTAAAACTGAGAAATCAAAAAATGGAAACATCGAAAAACTGAAAACGTGAAAAATCCAGAAACTGAGAAATCGAAAAATTAAAAATTGAAAAACCGAAAATAAAAAATCGGAAAATTGAAGAATCAAAGGACTGAAAAATCTAGAAATTCAAAAATTCCAAAACTGACAACAAAAAATTGAGAAAAGTCAAAAAGCGAAAAAATCGAAAAATTCGAAAACTGAAACAGAGAAATCGAGAAAATTGAAAAATCGAAATACGCCAAAATCGAAAAGGAAAAAATTTTAAAAATTGAACAATCGAAAAATCGAGAAATTCAACAATAAATAGAGAAATCGAAAAACAGAAAAATCAAAAAATTGAAAAACCGAAAAATCTAAAACAGAACTCAAAAATTGGAAAGATCAAGAAATCGTAAAACAAAAAATTGAAAAATTTAAAAACCGAAATTAAAAAATCGGAAAATTGAAGAATCGAAGGACTAAAAAATCGAGAAATTCAAAAATTCCAAAATTGACATGACGACAAATTGAGAAATCGGGAAACTGAAAATTCGAAACATTGAAAAATTGGAAAAACGGAAAGTCAAAAACCGAAAAAAACGAAAAACCGAAAAATTTAAAAACTGAAACAAAGAAATCGAAACATCAAAGGATCGAGAAATAAGGAAATCTAAAGTCGAGAAATAAGGAAATCTAAAGTCGAGAAAATTGAAAAATCGAAACATTGAAATCGCAAAATTAAAAATTTTAAAAATCTAAAAATTGAAACTGAAAAATCTAAACCTGAGACTCAAAAAATGGAAAGATCGAGAAATCGAAACATAAAAAAAAAGATAATAAAAATTTAAAAATTTGAAAAATTGATAAATAGATATATCGAAGAACCGGAAATTTCAAAAATTTATAAATCGAGAAATCCAAACATCTGAAACTTTAAAAATTGAAATATCGAACAATCGAAAAATCGAGAAATTTTATTAATCCAGGAATCGAAAGATCGAAAATTCGATAAATAGGGAAATCGAAAAACTGAAAAATCAACAAATTTAAAAAGTGCGAAATCTAAAACTGACAACACAAAAAATGGAAAGATCGAGAAATCGAAACATCAAAAAAAAGATAATAAAAATTTGAAAACTCAAAAAATTGAAACATATATATCGAAGAAAAAAAATTGACAATTCGAAAAATTTTGAAATAACGTCATCAATTTTTTGGTGTTGATGAACAGATACATTTTGATTAAAAAATGATCAAGCTTACAACAACTTGAAAACGTCTGCATGATTTCAAAGTATTCAGTTTTGCAATTCTTGATTTATTCATTTAATAAAATAAATTGATTAATTTTTTTGGGTCACCCTGAATAAGCAAATCTATACGTTTTAGCATGTTATTCCTAATAAAAAAAAGTAAACAAAAACTGTGTGAAGTTGGCAAAAATTTTAAAACTTCCTTAATTGAAAACGATACGTTTACTATTATTATTATCACTATAAAGGTGGTGTGACCTATATGACGTCATTCGATAAGTAACAGTAACCATAATTTTAATTACATATTATTATAGACAATAAAAAAAAGTAGGACGACATTTTCTAATGTTCAAATATATATGACGTCATAACTTATACTTAAGTTGAATTTAAACAGTTTTCGAATAAGTTCGAACTAGAGTGACAAGGAAGTAATTCCACCATCTGTCTTCATCTCACGATAAAAAAATTACAACAAATGCTCAACTATGTATCGACCACTACGTTTATTCGCTTTTTCAGTGGTTCACTCATAATTTATACAATCCTTTGTGTTTTCTTTTACATCCAAATAAAACTTTCATACCAGAAAAAAATCCCCAAGTTTGAATTATATTATAACTCAAACAAAACGCAAAAATATAAAAATTCCATAAAAATTACACCATTAAAGAACCCGTAAAACTGTTCAACAAACAATGAACACTCAATAAATCTTAAAATATTAGGAACATAAACGTCTATCATAATAACTGATAATAGACAACGATTTCTAACGCAACCACGCAACCTTGACCCTCAATTGAGTACACTAAAATGATTAAATGTACAATTCAATGTCTCGCACGGAGTTTAAGCTACTTCCTACTCAACATAGAAGCCGCAAGACAAAAAATCGATGCCGAGGCCGCAGAATTTTCCAAGAAAATTTGACTCTGAGTGAGTCGTGATTCATAAAATGTTGTTAGAATTAAAAATGTTCGGAAAAAACTAAACCGCGTCCCGGACCTTTAAAAATTGCAGCTGTGTGTGGTCGGCACGAGCACTAAATTTAATAAGTGCCATTAGCCAATTTATAACAGTTATTTTCAAACAAAGCGCCGAGTGATGCAATGGCATTGAATGCACTGGACACATTTAAATATGACTTAAGCCGAAATCTATCCCGCGTGACTCACTTACGATTTGAGTGTGAAAGGCGCAATTAGCGCTCACAAAACCCACAAAGAATCCAACTGAGTTTCGTTTTTATTCACTTTCGCTAAAAAGTGAAGTCGTTGTTTAATTACAAAAGCAGCTGAGTCGTAAATTGAATCTCCAGTAGTCTGCAGAATTTATCAATCATTAAGAAAGTAGGCGGCGCTCACTGACTCATTAAATGTTTGTCCGGAGATAAATAATTTAACACTCTTTTCAAACAAGTTTATACAAGATTCATAGCGCTATAAAGGCGTTAATAATAAATACCTCGTGTTGCGCGATGTCCCATGTTTCTTTAATTTTCTCATTGCTGTAATAGTCGTACATGGTGGAATTGAGCTTGTTTTCGAGCATCACTTCGACTTCGTTCCTCCGCACGTATCCCGCAATTCCCGTACCCACCTCCATGGTGAAAATCACCAGCAACAATACCGAGAACTAAAACAACAGCAATCAATAGGTTCCAAAACAACCCTGTGATGTCTCACAGTGATGATCATGCAGTGGTTCTCCTTGCACGCCCCACAGCACCCGAAGAACGCCACCAGGAAAATAATCACCCCCACGATGATCAAAACCAAGGGGGCCGACTGAAAACTGTCATACACGAAATTCGAGTAGTGCCCATACACCACGTAGATGACAGCCCCAATCGCCAGGATCACAGCCCCCGAGACCTGTTGGAAGTCATTCAAACCGTCAAGATTCCAGGTCACGCAAACATTTACTTACGAAAAACAACAGATTAAACACGTAGAGCAAATATTTAACACACGTCATCCCTCCAGACACCATTTTGATGGTAAATTCTGCAACAGAACGAATCACTGGGGTCACCCATGGACGCGAAATGGGTCACTCTGGTACACCTCTGGTACGACTTACCTCAGCTGGGTAACTGTTTCTCGCGTAAACAAACACCTCATTAACTCTCCGCCGCTCTGTTATGCTTGGTTTCTGCCACCACAATAAAGGAATGTAAACGTGATACCTGAAATGCCTGAAACGCAACCGCCAATGGGAGCGCTCCGACCCCCACTACCGACACTCTGAAATATTGATGTGGCGATATTGGAAACCGAATTCGTTCGATATTTACGTTTTTTTCAACTAAATCATTGATTTTTGGCTGCGATGATCGAAATGGGGGCGATTTTTCGACGTGACGTCACGCGAGAAACGTCAACGAAGAAAAGCGATGACTCGATTGGCGGAATAAATCACGTGACGCCAATTTTGGAAATGTCACAGAACTGACAAGTTAATAATTGTCACGAGTTGCGCAACGCCGTTTTTAACCATTTTCTAAAAATAAGGCGCTTCTAACTATTTATATTAACAGTCGTAAATTGGAAAAAGATCGCGCAAGTAAATCAAGTCGCGCTTGAAGTGTCAACAATTATTTGAATTGCGCGCCTATAAATCACGATTCTGATTGGTGAAAAAAGTGACGTCTGTGTCATTATTTATCTACCGGTTTGAATTTTGGAGCGATTGCTCAATTAGGTTCAAAGGGTGCGTTTTAAATTTTCGGCGGTCAAAGAACTGCGTGTCTTGTAATTAATTTGTGCAGATGAAAGGATTCGAGTGCTCAGTAAGTGTAAAGTTCAGTGAAGTGCAATGAAACGAGCGCGCATTTTATAAATTAGTTTATTTCTTGAAATACCTTTTACCAAAAGAATATACACAAAAATCACATATTTCATATGTACAAATTCATGTTACACGTCAGGTTAAGTTAGAGCAGAATTAATATAAATCACAAGTTTTAAGACTTTATGGCTCTGTTTGATGCGCTCCACGTCAAGTTTGTGTTTCGAAAATATCACCAACTTGTTGAGCTTGATTCCAGAGAGCTAAATGTTATATAGCGTCCACTATTTCTAAACTTTTGTATAAATTGAGCTAAGTTTTACTTTTAGCTAGATATTAAGTATTAGTATCACCTGGTAGAAGCAAGTCTGCTGGTAAATTATATTGCAATTTCGCAAGCAAATGGTACGGATTATAATGCTCCTGAGATAATTTTTACACACCTATATACAAAATAAAAAACAATGGGGAACTTACTCTCTACTAAATAAATACAAAATAATTTGACAAACAGATTTACACGATCAAACAAATAAATAACAACAAGTTTCACTTTAAAATGACCATGGATCTAAACATTTTCAGTTAAAATTTGTTAAAATTGTTAAAACATTAAAATAAATTAGAATAACTTTTTCAAAGGATTACTCTTCGTGTTCACTGCACTCGTTCCGTGTTTGTCACGCACTAACCTGAAAGAGGAATTTTTTAATGTTTCCCATCACTAATTACTCGGCGATTGTCAAAGTTCCTTCAGCAACGCCGACTTCGCGTTCTTCAGCTTATCTAACCGTTTTAATAAGTGCGTATTTGACGTCTCCAACTCCTCTGCTCTGCTCAAAGCCTCGCGTGCCTACGACAAACCCCAATTAATCAAAGACCTCACAAACCACAAGCAAACAGACACAAAAACCCAAACCATGCACAAAAACCACGCCACAATGACACAAAAATCGATATCACCCGTCTTTGTCTAACTCATGTTGTTAGTTCGTTTAAATGTCACGGTGCTCAAATTTTGATAAAACTATCTCAATCAAAATCTGAGCTACGGAATAAAGTACTGTTACACAATGCACGGTTAAATGGGTTAATAATCATGAATATGGAATGTCCTACATTACTACAATACACTAAACGGCTCCAAGGGAATTCCGAAACAACAGGCGTTCACGTTGCTGGATCAACGCCACGTTTGAAGCCTCCATCAACATTAATTGATGTTTGACATTGGCAACCTAGCACACCTCTCAGTGTTTATTTACGAAACAAAAGTTACATTTTCATAAAAATGATTTATTCAAGTCAGAAAAAAAAAAACAAAACAACAAAAGCGCGATTGTGTTAATAAGCACTACTACCTCTATATACTTTCAGAAACATCAGTGGAATCAGTTAAAGAAGCCTGTAATTAAGAAACACGTGCCAAATAAAATAATAAAAGCATTATTAACTTAAGTAAGATACCAGCATGCTTTGTTTTTTGTCGTCTACACCCACCTCTCTCTGCAACTTTCGCTTCTCTGCTTTGAGCGCCTCCTCGGCTTTTTCGGAAACCTCGGCCGCCGCCTTATACCTAATCACCTGACTTTCTAGCCTCGCAACCGTGGCTTGGAGCGTAGCGACGTCTTGTTCAGCCTTCTGAGCCCGAAATTTATAGTCGCCGAGTTGTTTGCTAGCCTCTCCTGAAAACCCTGGTCACTTTTTTTATTATTGTTTTTTCAACAAAAACTCACTTTGTATGTCTAGTTCGTCTAGATCTTGGTCGGACGCCGGCCCGTTCAACGTGCCCACCGAATTCGACTTTTTCCTCTTGCTCCTCTCTTCCTCTAATTCTAATTTTAAATGGCTAATCTGATCCTGTAGTTCGCTTTTTTCTTTCATGAATTTAGCGAGCCGCACGTCGAGGCTGCCCTCGCCCGCGCTCTCCAGCAACTGGGCATTTTCTACACTAACTAAGGCCTTCTTGGGGGTACCTATACTATTGAGGCTGGTGTCGCCGTTTCTTTGTTCCTCTTCGTTGATTGATTCCTCGCCGACGATCACCAGGCCCTTCTCACTGATCAGCTGATCCCGCTCCTCGAGTTCGGCTCTGGTCACAGCCAAGTCGTCCTTCATTTTCGCGCACAGCCGCTTCATCTGGTCGTGTTCGCGGCACTTCTCGCGGTGCTCTCTCTTCAACTGGGAGTGCTCCTCTTCGAGCTCCTCTATCCGATCTTTGAATAATTCCAGCTGATATGTTAGAGAGGTTTTGTCGTTGTCGAGTTGGGCGTTGGCGATCATCGCCTTGCGGAATTTGTCCTCGTACTCTTTCAGTTCGTTCTACGGCAGAAATGATTATTGGTGGGTTATTTAATACTCGAGGACGTAATTACTGTCTATTTAGCAAATACGGGGTTCGTGCGGATTTGACGAGTTTCATTATTGCTGGACTTCCGGTTTTTGGGAAAAATCTTTGCTAACAAAGACACAAAGGTTTCGGAATACAGAGGTCTGGGAAAAAGCGGCGGTTAGAACTGGATGGTAGTGAGACTCGTTCGACTTGTATAATTATCTACATATCAATTTATTGCAACGTGTTATAATTAGCGATTATTTTGTAAAAAATGAGTTTACCTGTTGTAGCAATCGTACAAAAATGAAAGAAAATGGTCGAAGGTTATTTCGAACAAATCCAGCTTTTTTAAGAAATTCACCCTACTTTTTTTGTGTTGGCCATAATTTAAAAATTTTGAGAACGAAAAAATTGAAAAAATTCTGTGATTTATACATCCAACAAGTGAAAAATGAACAATGGAAAAATTGCAAAAGTATTAAACTCAAAAATGAAAAAGTCGAAATTTTGAAAAATTAAAAATCAAAAAATTGGAAAATTGAAACAATGAAATTCGGATACTTGAAAAATGGAAATTTTTCTTTTTGGGGGGATAAACATACATTCTGGATTTTTTTCCAAAAATATGGATGTCTCGGTGAAAATTCAGCACGGATTCATAAATTACATGTGTAGGAGTGTTTTTTTTGTAAAATTTAAAACCCATTTGCTATGTACAATTTTGAGGTGACGTAACTTTTTAGATTTTACAGATTTTTTGAGATTCTAAAAATTCTAGATGTTCCAGAGATCCTAGGAGATGCAAAAGATTGCAAAGATCTTTTTATTCTGAAAGTTTTAAGATCTTAAAAATCATGAAATTCTGAAAATAATTAAAACGATTCCCAAAATCCCTGTCACTTTCGAAATTTTGCAAATTTTACAGATCCTAGAAATCCTAATTTTGAAGTTTTTCAAGAGTTTGAAGATCTCGAAATTTTGAAGATTGTTCCAACGATTCAAAGATTTTCAAAATTCCCGTATCTTTTGAGATTTTGGATATTTTAGTGATTTTAGAAACCCCAGATATTCTTAAAATCTTAGAGAATTTTTGAGCTTCTTGAAATCATAAATACTGCAGAAATTCAATAAATTTTAGGGATTCACAAAATTCCAAAGATTTTATAATTCAAGTCATTAAGACATTGAAAATCTTGAAATTCTGAAAATAATTCCAACAATTGAAAGATTTCCATAATCCCTGTTATTTTCGAAATTTTGGGAATTTTAGAGATCCTAGAATTTCTAGATATTCCTGAAATAATAAATATGGCAGAAATTCCATAAATTCCAGGAATGCGAAACCTTCTAGACATTTTCACGATTCTGAAGACTGGAGATCTTGATGATCCTGAAATTCTGAAGATTCTTTCAACGATTGAAAGATTTTCAAAGATCCTGTAACTTTTGAGATTTTACAGATTTTTTTGAGATTCTAAAAATTCTAGATGTTCCAGAAGTCCTAGATATATTGTAAAAATCATAACTATTGTAGAAATTCAACAAATTCCAGGTATGCAAAAGATTCCAGAGATCTCATCATTCTGCGGGCCTTAAGACCTTAAAAATCCTGAATTTTTGAAAATAATTCCAACGATTCAAAGATTCCCAAAATCACTGTCATTTTCGAAATTTTGCAAATTTTAAAGATACTAGAAATCCTAGATATTCTTGAAATTCTAGATATGCTATATAGATGTTCCCAGAACCTAAAAATCATAAATATTGCAAAAATTCAATAAATTACAGTGACGCTAAATATTCAGAGATCTCCTAATTTTGAAGTTTTTCAAGGGTTTGAAGATCTCGAAATTCTGAAGATTGTTCCAACGATTCAAAGATTTTCAAAATTCCCGTATCTTTTGAGATTTTGGATATTTTAGTGGTTCTAGAAACCGAAACCCCAGATATTCTTAAAATTTTAGAGATTTTTTGAGCTTCTTGAAATCATAAATACTGCAGAAAATGAATAAATTTTAGGGATGCACAAAATTCCAGATGTGTCATCATTCTGAAGACTTTAAACCTTAAAAATCTTGAAATTCTGAAAATAATTCCAATGTTTTAAACATTTCCATAATCCCCGTCATTTTCGAAATTTTGGGAATTTTACATATTTTAGAATTCCTAGATATCCCTGAAATCCTAGATATAATATAGGTTTCAAGGTTTCTAGATAGCATAAACATTGCAAAAATTCAATAAATTCCAGGAATGCGAAAGCTTCTACAGATTTTCACGATTCTGAAGACTGAAGATCTTGATGATCCTGAAATTCTGAAGATTCTTCCAACGATTGAAAGATTTTCAAAGATACTGTAAATTTTGAGATTTTACAGATTTTTTTGAGCTCCTTGAAATCATAGATGTTCCAGAAATCCTAGATATACTAGGATTCTAGAATCATAAATACTGCAGAAATTCAATAATTCCAGGGATCCAAAAGATTCCAGAGATTTCATCATTCTGAGGACCTAAAAACCTTAAAAATCCTGAAATTCTGAAAATAATTCCAACGATTCAAAGATACCCAAAATCCCTGTAACTTTCGAAATTTTGCAAATTTTAGAGATCCTTGAAATCATAAATATTGCAGAAATTCAATAAATTCCAGGACGCCAAATATTCCAGAGAACTTATTATTTTAAAGAATTTCAAGAGCTTGAAAATTCTGAAAAATCTTCCAAAGGTTCAAACATTTTCAAAATTTCTGGATCTTTTGAGATTTTGCAGATTTTATAGATTCTAGAAACCCTAGATATTGTTAAAATCCAAGATATTCAATAAATTCCGAGGATGCAAAAAATAACACGATTCTGAAGACTTTGAAGAGCTTGAAGATTCTGAAATTCTGAGGATTCTTAAAACGATTCGAAAATTTCGAAAAACACTGCAATTTTTGAAATTATATTTACAGACTTTTGAGATTATAGAAATCCTACATATACTAGATATTCTAGAAAACATCAATACTGCAGAAATTCAACAAATTCCAGGAATGCGAAACCTTCTAGAGATATTCACGATTCGGAAGACTGAAGATCTTGATGATCCTGAAATTCTGAAGATTCTTCCAAAGACTGAAAGATGTTCAAAGGTCCTGTAATTTTTGAGATTTTACAGATATTTTGAGCTTCTTGAAATAATAGATGTTCCAGAAGTCCTGGATATACCGTAGGCCTTAAGGATTCTAGAAATCATAAATACCGCAAAAATTACAGTAAATTCCAGAGATGCAAAAGATTCCAGAATCTCATCATTCTGAGGACCTAAAAACCTTAAAAATCCTGAAATTCTGAAAATAATTCCAACGATTCAAAGATTACCAAAATCCCTGTAACTTTCGAAATTTTGCAAATTTTAGAGATCATTTGAAATCACAAATATTGCAGAAATTCAATAAATTCCAGGGCGCCAAATATTCCAGAGAACTTATTATTTTAAAGAATTTCAAGAGCTTGAAAATTCTGAAATTCTGAAGAATCTTCCAACAGTTCAAAAATTGTCAAAATTTTTGGATCTTTTGAGATTTTGCAGATTTTATAGATTCTAGAAACCATAGATATTCTTAAAATCCTAGATATTCAATAAATTCCGAGGATGCGAAAAATAACACGATTCTGAAGACTTTGAAGAGCTTGAAGATCCTGAAATTCTGAGGATTCTCAAATCGATTCAAAAATTTCGAAAAACACTGCAATTTTTGAAATTATATTTACAGACTTTTGAGATTCTAGAAATCCTACATATACTAGATATTCTAGAAAACATCAATACTGTAGAAATTCAATAAATTCCAGGAATGCGAAACCTAGAGATTTTCACGATTCTGAAGACTGAAGATCTTGATGATCCTAAAATTCTGAAGATTCTTCCAAAGACTGAAAGATGTTCAAAGGTCCTGTAATTTTTGAGATTTTACAGATATTTTGAGCTTCTTGAAATCATAGATGTTCCAGAAATCCTAGATCTACCGTAGGCCTTGAAGATTCTAGAAATCATAAATACCGCAAAAATTCCAGTCAATTCCAGGGATGCAAAAGATTCCAGAGATCTCATCATTCTGAGGACCTAAAAACCTTAAAAATCCAGAAATTCTGAAAATAATTCCAACGATTCAAAGATTCCCAAAATCCCTGTAACTTTCGAAATTTTGCAAATTTTAGAGATCTTTGAAATCATAAATATTGCAGAAATTCAATAAATTCCAGGACGCCAAATATTCCAGAGAACTTATCATTTTAAAGAATTTCAAGAGTTTGAAAATTCTGAAATTCTGAAGAATCTTCCAACAGTTCAAAAATTTTCAAAATTTCTGGATCTTTTGAGATTTTGCAGATTTTATAGATTCTAGAAACCCTAGATATTGTTAAAATCCGAGATATTCAATAAATTCCGAGGATGCGAAAAATAACACGATTCTGAAGACTTTGAAGAGCTTGAAGATCCTGAAATTCTGAGGATTCTTAAAACGATTCAAAAATTTCGAAAAACACTGCAATTTTTGAAATTATATTTACAGACTTTTGAGATTCTAGAAATCCTACATATACTAGATATTCTAGAAAACATCAATACTGCAGAAATTCAACAAATTCCAGGAATGCGAAACCTTCCAGAGATTTTCACGATTCGGAAGACTGAAGATCTTGATGATCCTGAAATTCTGAAGATTCTTCCAAAGACTGAAAGATGTTCAAAGGTCCTGTAATTTTTTAGATTTTACAGATATTTTGAGCTTCTTGAAATCATAGATGTTCCAGAAATCCTAGATATACCGTAGGCCTTAAGGATTCTAAAAAATCATAAATACCGCAAAAATTCCAGTAAATTCTAAGGATGCAAAAGATTCCAGAGATCTCATCATTCTGAGGACCTAAAAACCTTAAAAATCCTGAAATTCTGAAAATAATTCCCACGATTCAAAGATTACCAAAATCCCTGTAACTCTCGAAATTTTGCAAATTTTAGAGATCCTTGAAATCATAAATATTGCAGAAATTCAATAAATTCCAGGACGCCAAATATTCCAGAGAACTCATCATTTTAAAGAATTTCAAGAGCTTGAAGATTCTGAAATTCTGAAGAATCTTCCAACGGTTACAAAATTTTCAAAATTTCTGGATCTTTTGAGATTTTGCAGATTTTATAGATCCTACAAACCCTAGATATTCTTAAAATCCTAGATATTCAATAAATTCCGATGATGCGAAAAATAACACGATTCTGAAGACTTTGAAGAGCTTGAAGATTCTGAAATTCTGAGGATTCTCAAAACGATTCAAAAATTTCGAAAAACCCTGCAATTTTTGAAATTATATTTACAAACTTTTGAGATTCTAGAAATCATACATATACTAGATACTCTAGAAAACATCAATACTGCAGAAATTCAACAAATTCCAGGAATGCGAAACCTTCTAGAGATTTTCACGATTCGGAAGACTGAAGATCTTGATGATCCTGAAATTCTGAAGATTCTTCCAAAGACTGAAAGATTTTCAAAGGTCCTGTAACTTTTGAGATTTCACAGATATTTTGAGCTTCTTGAAATCATAAATGTTCCAGAAATCCTAGATATACCGTAGGCCTTAAGGATTCTAGAAATCATAAATACCGCAAAAATTACAGTAAATTCAAGAGATCCAAAAGATTCCAGAATCTCATCATTCTGAGGACCTAAAAACCTTAAAAATCCTGAAATTCTGAAAATAATTCCAACGATTCAAAGATTCTTTCGAAATATTGCAAATTTTAGAGATCCTAGAAATCCTAGATATGCTATAGGTTCCAAGGATTCTAAAAATCATAAATATTGCAGAAATTCAGCACGCCAAATATTCAGGGATTTGATAATTTTGAAGTTCGTCAATAGTTTGAAGATCTTGAAATTCTGAAGTTTCTTCCAAAGGTTAAAAAATTCTCAAAATTTCTGTATCTTTTGAGATTTTGCAGATTTTATAGATTCTAAAAACCCTAGATATGCCTTAAGGATCTTCGACATTGTACATGTTGTAGATATTCAATAAATTCCGTGGATGCGAAAGATAACACGATTCTGAAAACTTTGAAGAGCTTGAAGATCCTGAAATTCTGAGGATTCTTAAAGGGATTCAAAATTTTCCAAAAACCCTGCAATTTTTGCAATTATATTTACAGATTTTAGAGATTCTGGAAATATTAGATACTCCTGAAATCCTAGATACACTAGATATTCTAGAAAACATAAATACTGAAGAAATTCAATAAATTCTAGGAATGCGAAAGATTCTAGAGATTTTCACGATTCTGAAGACAAGATCTTGATGATCCTGAAATTCTGAAGATTCTTCCAACGATTGAAAAATTTTCAAATTTCCTGTAACTTTGGAGATTTTACAGAATTTTTGAAATTCTAAAAATCCTAGGTGTCCCAGAAATCCTAGATAAACTGGAAGGATTCTAGAAATCATAAATAGTGCAGAATTTCATTAAATTCTGAGGTCCTTAAGAAATTAAAAATCCTGAAATTCTGAAAATAATTGCAACGATTCAAAGATCCCAAAATCCCTATAACTTTTGAAATTTTGTAAATTTTAGAGATCCTAGAAATCCTAGATATGCTAAAGAGTTCGAGGATCCTAGAAATCATAAATATTGCAGAAATTCAGTAAATTCCAGGACGCCAAATATTCCAGAGGACTGATCATTTTAAAGAATTTCAAGAACTTGAAAATCCTGAAATTCTGAAGATTCTTCCAACGGTTGAAAAATCTCCAAAAACCCTGCAACTTTTGAAATTACATTTACAGATTTTAGAGATTCTAGAAATCCTAGATACTTCTGAAATCCTAGATATATTAGATATCTTAGAAAACATAAATACTGCAAAAATTCTAAATTCCAGGACTGCGAAACCTTTTAGAGATTTTCACAAGTGGAAAGACTGAAAATCTTGATGATCTTGAAATTCTGAAGATTCTTCCAACGATTGAAAGATTTTCAAAGGCCCTGTAACTTTGGAGATTTTACATATTTTTTGAGATTCTAAAAATCCTAGACGCCCCAGAAATCCTACACATACTGTAGAGCGTAAGGATTCTAGAAATCTAAATTCCAAGAATGCAAAAGATTCCAGAGATTTCATCATTCTAAAGGTTTTAAAACTTCAAAAATCCTGAAATTCTGAAAATAATTCCAACGATTTAAAGATTCCCAAAATTCCTGTAACTTTCGAAATTTTGTAAATTTTACAGATCCTAGAAATCCTAGATATGCTAAAGAGTTCGAAGATCCTAGAAATCATAAATATTGCAGAAATTCAGTAAATTCCAGGACGCCAAATATTCCAGAGGACTGATCATTTTAAAGAATTTCAAGAACTTGAAAATCCTGAAATTCTGAAGATTCTTCCAACGGTTCAAAAATCTCCAAAAACCCTGCAACTTTTGAAATTATATTTACAGATATTAAAGATTCTAGAAATTCTAGATATTTCTGAAATCCTAGATATATTAGATATCTTAGAAAACATCTATACTGCAAAAATTCTAAATTCCAGGACTGCGAAACCTTTTAGAGATTTTCACAAGTGGAAAGACTGAAAATCTTGATGATCTTGAAATTCTGAAGATTCTTCCAACGATTGAAAGATTTTCAAAGGCCCTGTAACTTTGGAGATTTTACATATTTTTTGAGATTCTAAAAATCCTAGACGCCCCAGAAATCCTACACATACTGTAGAGCGTAAGGATTCTAGAAATCTAAATTCCAAGAATGCAAAAGATTCCAGAGATTTCATCATTCTGAAGGTTTTAAAACTTCAAAAATCCTGAAATTCTGAAAATAATTCCAACGATTTAAAGATTCCCAAAATTCCTGTAACTTTCGAAATTTTGTAAATTTTACAGATCCTAGAAATCCTAGATATGCTAAAGAGTTCGAAGATCCTAGAAATCATAAATATTGCAGAAATTCAGTAAATTCCAGGACGCCAAATATTCCAGAGGACTGATCATTTTAAAGAATTTCAAGAACTTGAAAATCCTGAAATTCTGAAGATTCTTCCAACGGTTCAAAAATCTCCAAAAACCCTGCAACTTTTAAAATTATATTTACAGATATTAAAGATTCTAGAAATCCTAGATACTTCTGAAATCCTAGATATATTAGATATCTTAGAAAACATAAATACTGCAAAAATTCTAAATTCCAGGACTGGGAAACCTTTTAGAGATTTTCACAATTGTGAAGACTAAAGATCTTGATGATCTTGAAATTCTGAAGATTCTTCCAACGATTGAAAGGTTTTCAAAGGCCTTGTAACTTTGGAGATTTTACATATTTTTTGAGATTCTAAAAATCCTAGACGTCCCAGAAATCCTAGACATACTGTAGAGCCTAAGGATTCTAGAAATCTAAATTCCAAGAATGCAAAAGATTCCAGAGATCTCATCATTCTGAAGGGTTTAAGACTTCAAAAATCCTGAAATTCTGAAAATAATTCCAACGATTTAAAGATTCCCAAAATCCCTGTAACTTTCGAAATTTTGTAGATTTTAGAGATCCTAGAAATCCTAGATATTCCTGAAATCCTAGATACGCTATGGGTTCCAAGGATCCTAAAAATAATAAATATTGCAGAAATTCAATAAATTCCACGACGCCAAATATTCCAGAAAACTCATCATTTTAAAGAATTTCAAGAGCTTGAAAATCTTGCAATTCTGAAGAGTCTTCCAACAGGTCAAAAATTTTCAAAATTTCTGTATCTTTTTGTGATTTTGCAGATTTTATAGATGCTAGAAACGCTAGATATTCTTAACATCCTAGATTTGCTATTGGCCTTAAAAATCTTGATTTTTTGAAAATAATTCCAACGATTCAAAGATTGCAAAAATTCAATAAATTCCAGGGACGCCAAACATTCGAACTTCTCATCATTTTAAAGTTTTCAAGAGTTTGAAGATCTTGAAATTCGGAAGTTTCTTCTAACGTTTGAAAGATTTTCAAAGGTTTGTAATTTATATATATCGAACTAGTGATAAATCCGATAATTGTAAAATAGAAAAATTACAGAATTGAAAAATAGAAAAATTGCTAAACTATTAAATTAAAAAATTAAAAGCTTGAAAAAAAATGAAATTTTCAAAAATTAAAAACAAAAAAAAAAAAATGGAAGATTGAAATAATGAAATTCAGATTCTTGAAAACTCAAAAAATTTTAAAAACAAAGATTTGGGGAAGGATAAACAGATTATATTCTGGATTTTTTCCCAAAAGTACGGATGTCTCGGCTAAAACTCAACACGGATTCATAAATTACACGTGTAGGAGTATGCTATTTGGTTATGTACAATTTTGAGGTGAGGTTTTTTTCGTACTTAGCTTATGCTCAAGAAGTAAAAATGAGAAAATGTGGTGAATAACGTTTTCTCAAAGCTAGACAAATGGCAATTAAAAATGTCAATTTAGTAACCTCGATATTAATGAGCCATTACCGACACCCATTTACATTTAAAACTCATTTAAATTCAACATTCAAAAGTCTATTATAGTAAACATTATTTTCCAAAACTGACGTAAGACAAAAGCACTAATTTAACTCACCTATGAAACAAAACTACGGAATAATTTCCAACAAGGTTCATGCTCATTCAACTTCAATTAACCTAACGCTATTAACTTCTATCGTATGACTTCATAAGCACCATAAATTTTTTAGTACCACCACATTATCTCATCTTATTTTTCTTTAATAACTCTTTCAAACGTCACAACTCTTTTTTATTTATTAATTTTTTTGCATTATTCACCCCTCCACACACCCGATGACGTCACTTTTCGAAAAACACTCAATTTCAGGTTAAAAACCGCGCGTTTCGGGGCGCCCTCTGGCGGCCCAACGTGCACCACTCGACCCCCTTACCCGCAAATCCCTGAGACTGCCCCCGTCCTCCAGCGAGTCCTCCGAGCTCCTCCTGCTCGACAGGTACCTGCTGCCGCCCCCGGCCGCCCTCGCCGTCCTCGCCATCGGCTCGGACAGCATGTCGAATTGTCTGTCGGCATTCTCCTCTTGCTCCTTCTGTTGCCTCTCCAGCTCGCGCATACGTATCTCCCTCGCCTCAGCTCTGGCCTGCCGTTTGGCCCACAGACGTGCCTCCGCCTGAAACACAAGACAGCCGTCAACGCCTGACCGAACTCACTGGCGCGACCACGCGAATTTACTTCGTCGGTGGTGTCCTGCATCAGCCGGTGGATGACATCGTCGGCGGCGGCCTGCGCCCTCGGACCGTCGCCGTCCGTCGAACTCTCCGACTTGGTCACCCCCTCGACCTCGAGCCTGGCCTCGGGGTCCGTCATTTTTTCGGAAAAGTCGGTTTTTACAGACGCGCGACCGTACCCAAGCGGACGTTTCTTATCGCGGCGCGATAATTTATCGGCGGTGATAAGAGTGTCGTTGTTTTTACATTTTGCCGTTACGTTTCGGTCGGACGGAATCGGCGGGGCGGGCGGCTCATGCTTACTGGATTAATCAGCGGGACGAAATTCCGAGCATAAAAAAACAAAAAAGTCTAAAGTTGACTTAGATAAACCCGCCAACAGTAGGTTAGTAGATGCATTCTTTCAAGATAACTGATGACGTCATCTCAAATATTATATGCGTCGTAATTCAAACATCCACTTGTACTTTTAAACGTTACGAAATTCAACCGAAATTAACATTAACTGAAATTTACTTACTCATCCTCTCCAGATAATAAATGACGTCATTGCGATTTAAAAAAATTGGTCCAAGGTTATTTTGGCAGAACTTCTTTCGCTCTTGAAGACAACCAATGGGAAATTCGAAAAATCGAAAAAACCAAAAAATCGAAATCCAAAAAGTTAAAAAATCGAAAGATCGAACAAAACTTTAGAAAATCAAAAAAACTAAATTTAAAATTGAAAAATCCAGAAATTACACGGTTTCTTGACAAATCGAAAACTGTCAAATTTAAGAAAAACTGCAAACTCAAAAATACGAGAAATCCAGAAATTGAAAAATCCCAAAACTGAATTTGGCAAATGACATACTCTCTAAGAAAATATAGGGTGGGTGGGCGGGGTTACTATTTGATAGGAAAAAAACGATTTTAACACTTTTGACATTTTCGACCATTTTTCGACTATTTCCGAAAATTGGAAATCAAAAAACCGAAAATCCGGAAAATCGATAAATTAAGGAATTGAAATATCCCAAGATCGCAACCGAAAACCAAAAAACCAAAAAATAAGAAAAATCACATATTTCGAATATCGAAGAACTGAAAAATCGAGAAATCGGAAACTCTAGAATTTAAAAAATCCAAATATTAAAAAATCTAAAACTGAAATCTCAAAAAATTGATAAATTGATAAACAGAAAAATCGAAAAAATTTTTAAATCTCCAAAATAAAACACTGAAAAGATGAAAAATCGAAAAACTGAAAAATCGAGAAGTAGAGAAATCCGAGAGCTGGGAAATCGAGAAATTGAAAAGTTAGGAAAGCAAAAATTGTAAAATTAGAAAAATCGAAGAATCGAAAAATTGAAGAATCAAAAAATTGAAGGAAAAAAAAAACTGAAAAATCTTTAAGTTGTAATATCGACAAATTGAGAAATCGAAAGTTAAAAAATCGAGAAACGAGGAATGCTAAAATCAAAAAATCGATATATCGAAAAATTGAAAAATGAAGAAATTGAAAAGCCAATAATTTAGAAATCGAAAGTTGAAAAATCAAGAAATCTAAAAATCCAGAGTTTAAAAAATCGAAAAATCGAAGTCTGAGAAATCTAAAAACTAAAAATTGGAAAATCGAAAAATCGAGAAGTCGAGAAATCCGAGAGCTGGGAAAATTAAAAAAAATACATATGTATAAATCAAAAAGTCAAAAAATCGATTAATCGTAAAATCGAGAAGTTGAAAAGTTAGGAAAGCCAAAAGTTTAAAATTTGAAAAATCGCAAAATTGAGGAATCAAAAAATTGAAAAATCGCAAAATTGGGAAATCTAAGAATTGAAAAACCGAAAAATTGAAGAATAAAAAAACTGAAAAATCCTTAAGTTGTAATATAGAAAAATCAAGAAATCGAAAGCTGAAAAATCGAAAATTTAAAAAATCGGAAAATTGAATATCGAAAAATCAAAAAAGGGGAAAATAAAAAAGTCGAAAAATCGAGCAAGTGAAAAATCGATTAATCGTGAAATCGTGAAATCGAGAAATCGAAAATTGAAAAATGCAGAAATTGAAAAAACCCAAAAATTGAGAAATCGAAAAATTGAAACTGAAAAATTGGGAAATCGAAAAATTGAAGAATTAAAAACTTGAAAAATCGCAAAACTGAGATATCAAAGAATTAAGAAATCGAAAAATTGCAAAATGAAGAAATTGAAAAACCCAAAAATCGAGAAATCGAAAAATTTGAAATTAAAAAATGGTAAAATCAAAGCCTGAGAAATCTAAAAACTGAAACTGAAAAATTGGAAAATCGAAAAAATTGAAGAATGGAAAAACTGAAAAATCGAACAGAAAAGTCGAAAAATCGATTAATCACGAAATCGAGAAACGGAAACTTGAGAATGCGAAAAGTTGAAAATTTGAAAATCACAAAAATTGAAGCTGAAAAATTGAGAAATGGAAAAATCTAAATTTAAAAAATCGAAAAATCAAACCCTGAGAAATCTAAAAACTGAAACTGAAAAAATTGGAAAATCGAAAAAATTGAATAAGGATTGAAAAACTGAAAAATCGAGAAATTGAACATCGAAATGTCGAAAAATCCATTAATCGCGAAATCGAGAAATGGAAACTTGAGAATGCGAAGTTGAAAATTTGAAAATTGAAGAATCGAAAATTTCAAGAATTAAAAACTCGAAAATTCGCAAAATCGCAAATCGGAATTTAAGAAATCGAAAAATTGAAAGTCGAGAAATTGAAAAACCGAAGATGAAAAATCAAAACCTGAGAAATCGAAAAACAGAAAAAACGGAAAATCGAAAAATTGAAGAATTAATAAAAACTTGAAAAATCGCAAAACTGAAATATCGGAAATTGAGAAATCGAAAAATTGAACAACGAAGAAATTGAAAAACCCAAAAATTGAGAAATGGAAAAATCTAAATTTAAAAAATCGAAAAATCAAAGCCTGAGAAATCTAAAAACTGAAACTGAAAAATTGGAAAATCTAAAAAAATGAAGAATTCAACAACTGAAAAATCGAGAAATCGAACACAGAAAAGTCGAAAAATCGATTAATCACGAAATCGAGAAACGGAAACTTGAGAATGCGAAAAGATGAAAATTTGAAAATTGAAGAATCGAAAATTTCAAGAATTAAAAACTCGAAAATTCGCAACATCGCAAATCGGAATTTTAGAAATCGGAAAATTGGAAGTCGAGAAATTGAAAAACCGAAGATGAAAAATCAAAACCTGAGAAATCGAAAAACAGAAACAACCGAGAAATTCAAAAAATTGAAGAATTAAAAACTTGAAAAATCGCAAAACTGAAATATCGGAAATTGAGAAATCGAAAAATTGAACAATGAAGCAATTGAAAAACCCAAAAATTGAGAAATGGAAAAATCTAAATTTAAAAAAGAATTAAAAACTCGAAAATTCGCAAAATCGCAAATCGGAATTTAAGAAATCGAAAAATTGAAAGTCGAGAAATTGAAAAACCGAAGATGAAAAATCAAAACTTGAGAAATCGAAAAACAGAAGAAAACGGAAAATCGGAACATTGAAGAATTGAAAAACTGAAAAATCGAACATCAAAAAGTCGAAGAATCGATTAATGGCGAAATCGAGAAATGGAAACTTAAGAACGCCAAAAGTTGAAAATTTGAAACATCAAAAAAGCGAAAAATCGAAAAATTGGAGAATTGAAAAACTGAAAAATTGAGAAATCGAACACTGAAAAGTCAAAAATAACGATTAACTGCGAAATTGAGAAATGGAAACTTAAGAACGCCAAAAGTTGGAAATTTGAAAATTCAAAAAATTGAAGAATCGAAAAATTCAAGAATTAAAAACTTGAAAAAAGAAGAAATTGAATAACCCAAAAATTGAGAAATGAAAAAATCTAAAATTTAAAAAAATCGAAAAATTGAAAAATTCGTAAGCTGGAATATCGAAAATCTGAGAAATCGAAAGTTGAAAAATCAAAAAAAATTGAAAAATTCCTGAAGTTGTAACATGAAAAAATTGAGAAATCGAAAAATCGAATATCGAAAAGTCGATAAATCGAGAAAGAAAAACATAAAAAAATCAATATATCGAAAAATCGAGCAACTGAAAAATCTATTAATCATGATTTCGAGAAATGAAGAAATTGCAAAAACCCAAAAATTGAGAAATCGAAAAACCTAAAATTTAAAAAATCGAATAATCAAAGCCCGAGAAATCTAAAAACTGAAACTAAAAAATTGGAAAGTCGAAACAATTGAAGAATTTAAATACTGAAAAATCGAGCAATCGAACATCGGAAACTTTAAGAACGCCAAAAGTTGAAAATTTCGAAAATCAAAAAATTGAAACTGAAAAATTGGGAAATTGAAGAATCGAGAAATTCAAGAATTAAAACCTTGAAAAATCGCAAAACTGAAATATTGGAAATTAAGTAAGAAATCGAAAAATTGAAAGTCAGAAATTGAAAAACCAAAAAAATTGAGGAATCAAAACATTGAAAATTCGAAAAATCTAAGATTTAAAAAATCAAAAAAGTAAAAAATCAAAACCTGAGAAATCGAAAAACTGAAAAAATCGGAAAGTCGAGAAATCGAACATCGAAATGTCGAAAAATCCATTAATCGCGAAATCGAAAAATGGAAACTTAAAAACGCCAAAAGTTAAAAATTTGAAAAATCAAAAATTGAAGAATTAAAAATCGCAAAACTGGAATATCCGTAATTAAGAAATCGAAAAATTGAAAAAAGAAGAAATTGAATAACTCAAAAATTGAGAAATAAAAAAAACTAAAATTTAAAAAATCGAAAAATTGAACAATTGAAAAATTCGTAAGCTGGAATATCAAAAAATGAAGAAATCGAAAGTTGAAAAATCAAAAAATTGAGAAATCGAGAAAGAGGAAAATAAAAAAAATCAATATATCGAAAAATCGATTTAATCGTGAAATCGAAAAA